TGTTTTCGACTGCAGGACCAACGTGCTGGGCCACCTGCAGCAGGTACAGCGCTAGGGCGGTTCCCCGGCCCCTGCCGTACTCACTCACCTGCCAGGGCTCCCATCTCCATCCCTATTTTCTTCACTGGGGATCCTTCGAGGACCCTTGAGGGAGAGACTCTCTCTCTTGAGGGAGAGACTTTGTGCAAGCTGTTCTGTTCTGTTTTGTTTTAAATTCTCTAGCACTCTGGGGTTGTGACCGTTCCCATCACTCTTTGACGGAGAGAAGACCGAGGCTCATCTTTTGAGTTCTCACTTCAGGGGGGTGGGGCTGAGACTCAAACCTGCCACTTGGGCTCTGGACTGAGCCCTCATCTTCTGGGAGGTGGCCCAAGCCCCTCATTCTGTGAATGTCTCCTCTTTGCCTATTCTCTTACCTACTAAGAAAACCTATTGCCTCCTGGCGGCTCTCAGGAGGCCTGAGGTGGGGCTGTGGCCTATGAGTCCTGCGGCCTAGGTGTCATTTCCAGCCTCTGGGGTGGCTTCTAGAAGGCTGTGCTTTGAGGCCCTCAAGTGGTCATGCCCACTGCAAGGACACGAGGAGACTGTCATGGCTCACATGCTCCCTTAGGACCCCCTTTGGATCCAGTCTCCTCCTCTGGGGTGTGTGGTCAGCTCCAGGGATGTGCTTTTGCCTGTGTCTCCAGGGTGGTGCACCAACCCCCTTTGACCGGAACTACGGGACCAAACTGGGGGTGAAGGCCATGCTGTGGATGTCGGAGAAGCTGCGCGATGTCTACCGCAAAGGTAGGTGGGATGAACTGGCCGGGCCTGGCTCTCTGAGCTCCTCAGGGGTCCTGACCATGCCTACCACACACTCGTTTCCATAGGGCGGGTGTTTGCCAACGCCCCGGACTCAGCCTGTGTCATCGGCCTGCGGAAGAAGGTGGTGGCCTTCAGCCCAGTCACAGAACTCAAGAAAGATACTGATTTTGAGTAAGTCCTTTTGGAGCTGCATGGAGGAAGGAGGACCCTGGGAGGCCCAGAGCTTCCTTGGACGGGGTCCCTACCAGGCTTTGAAGAGCTGGAGTCTTGTCCAGGTGTTGAAAGGCTAGCACAGGGCAGTCTGGGGAGGCTTGGGGGTGAGCAGGCTGGTTAGCCTGAAACTCTTGCATCTGACTACCTCAGAGGAATGGAGCACTCAGATGTACCACCCTGGTCACCATGACGACTAGGTATTCAGGGTTTTAAGGGACTGCAGGGTTCAGATGCTGTAACTAGCGAACCTTGACCTACCCAGGCACCGCATGCCACGGGAACAGTGGTGGCTGAACCTCCGGCTGATGCTCAAGATGCTGGCGCACTACCGCATCAGCATGGCAGACTACGTGTCGGGGGAGCTGGAGCACGTCACCCGCCGCACCCTGAGCATAGACAAGGGTTTCTGAGGCCACCGCCACCACCTCTCCTGCTCCTGCCTTCCCGGACACTTGCCCTTCTAGCGCCGGCCGCAGATCCCAGCACTGAGGGCAACTCACATGGAACTCGGAACCCATGGCTGAGGGATGTGGGCTCTACTGTGCTGCTCTGGGGTTCCTCCCTTAGCTGGCCCCAGGATAGAGCGCCTGGGGGTCCCCCACCTCTGGGCAGAGCCACATTGTGTCTCCCTCACTGGCTAGCTGGCTGCCTCACCACATGGCTGAAAAGAGCCTCACTGTTTTTAGAAATAAAGTCACCTGACTAGAGCCTGCTCACCTGGATGGTCTGACCCGAGTTGTCCAGGGACAGGGTTGTCAGGACTCATGCGCAAGCCTTACCCACAGCTATTCTGCAAGACCAGATAGTAGGGACCCTCCCCCCTGGGGCCCACTAGGAAGATCTGAGTCCTTAGCTCTGCCTGAAGGGCTGAGGACAGCTACTGAGGCTTGTGTAGGCCCCGTCTCTGCTCCCTGGAATGGCTGGAGTCTCAGCCTGTAGGCAGTGGACCCTGGCTCTGGAGGGTAGACTGTCATGGTCAGAATATTGGCCCTGGCTGGTTGCTGACAGCCAGAAAGTTCTTGAAGTCATAAGGCTGGCTCCTCAGCGAAGCCTATGAAGGGCAGAGCCCTGGCCATCCCCACCCCAGGTCCTGCTCCAATCAGATGGTCAGGATTTCTTGCTTGAGGCATGCTGGGTCCATTCTAACAGTGGCTGGACATTTACAATAGATGGAGGTTGTTTCTGGCCTCTTGGCGTATGGAGGTCAAGGATTTTGGTTTTGGCTTTGTGGGCCTGCAGGCCACATTGGGGTGGTTTCACTAAGGGTCTTCCTATGAGCCTGGGCTTTGGGGGCACCATTGGGGACCGGGTGAGGTGTCTGGGCCTCCTTCCCCTTGGCTGTCTTAGTCCCACCCCAAAGGGCAGTGGGTCTGGCTGGACAAAGGGTGAGAGCTATAAGCACTGGCACGAACGGCTCCTGCTTCTTAGTCTCTGATCCCCGTGCTGGGGGAATGGCTTTTTCCTACACCTTGGCCCCAGGAATCAGAACTGGGGAGCCACTGTCCTGTGGAGGACAGACTGCAGTGGAACAGGGTTGCCCTCACTCTGGTGCCCAGTGCATTGTGGACAGCAGCAGAAGTTCAATATCCAGAGCTGACCTGTCCTGTTCTTGTGTTCTGCTCAGGCAGAAGGAAGGGCTGTTTCCATGCATAGGAATCACTGTTGCAGTGTTTTCTGGAGCCTGAGACCTGAGTAAATCTTAGGGTTATAAGGAAACCTTGGAAGTATCCCCAAAACGAACTGCTGAGCAGGCTCACCCACTTCACTTTGTGTGATTAAGTACCATAGTCCTCTGAAGCAGTGTTTGGTGGCAGGCTACCATGTTCCTGAGTCACCCCCATGTCACACTGGTCCACACGGTGGGTTCACAACTGGACCTCGGGGAATGGGCACTCACCTTGCCGCTCTTCCCACAGCCCCATAATTGAGAGACACAGGAAAGAGCTAAGCCATTGCCCCAGCAGCAGCCATCAGAACCCCCACCATCTGTAACCTCACATCCTGATGTCATCTTAGTCTGATGACATGAACCGGGTGATTCCAGATGTCTGATGGGCACTTGGGAGTCTGGGCAGAGCAGACCATCCCTGACCCTTGCTAAGACTAAACAGAGGTTCAGGGTCAACGGAGCATGCTGTTATCAGTAGCCTAGGTTTCTTCCAACCCTGTGGGCTTGCCTATCCCAGGAGGAGACAGCATTTGTGAGGGCTTCATCTTCCCTGAGGCTAAAGCTCTGTGGCTGCCCACTCTGCAGAGCTACTGCTGTGTGCAGCTCTGCACTTGCGGGGACTGACTTTTCCTCCTCATCGAGTTTGCCCATCTTGCAGCAGTTGTATGGGATGGCCCAAGTGCAGAATAACTGGACTTTCCAGGGGAATGCCTTCAGGGGTACCCAAGGCATAGTGGGGACTCTTCACAGATTCTTTTCAACAAAGACGAAAGACTATAGGATGTGTATGGCATCATGCTACCCTGCTTAGGAGTACTGCGTGAGTGCAGGTGCTGATGGGCAAGCACAGCTGACATGGCAATGGCCAGCCCCATGGGTCACTGCAAAGTTGCTGTGGGCTTCTTTCTCCCAGGTGACATGCCCAGCTACTTCCGCCTGGCTGGAGCCCACAGAAACCAGTGTCCTCAAGGCTGCTGGGAGAGCCGTCCTAGAGTAATGGGTGTCATCATAGCCCCCTGGAGGGTTTGTGTCTTGAACACATGGCAACAAGGCCTGTAGTAGGGTTTCAGAGGGACAGAGCCAGTGGAATGTATATATACTGTAAGAGTGGATTCGCCAGACTGGTTTATACAGATGGGTTGGGCACCCCAATAATGGCCACCTGCATGCTGGAGAGGCTGAGAACCCTGTAGCTGCTAGAAAGATGTCTCAGCACTTCCAATCTGGTGCTGAGTACCTGCAAAGTCTCTGGTCAAAGAGCTGGATTCTGATGCCAGCAGAGGATGGAGAGCACAAGGAGGGCTGGCAGGCAGCATTGCCTTTTAACTTGGACCACTTTATATCCAGGCTGCCTGCTAGGAGGTGCTGCCACTCTGGAGAGGGTCTTCTCACCAATCCTGCCTGGAAATGGCCTCATAGGCCATCATAAGGCCACTTACTGATGCTCCAGGTTCCCAACTGACAAGACTCAGGGGTCCCTGCTAGGGGGGACACTTGTGCTAATTCCTGAGTCACCGCAAATGCCCCACAACTGTTAGTGTGTTCTCCATCTGAAGCAGCTCAGGGTCTGGGGACAACAGCAGGCTGTAGCTGGACACCTGAAGATTAGCGACCGGCAGGCCCCTTGCTCAGTCTGTCTGGGCATCTGCCACATAAGGGGCTTTGCAGTGGGGAGGCATCAAGGGCAGGAGATCCAGGCACAAGACCTGTGCAGCTCATTCTGCTTATGGCTAGGTGGGGTAAGGTCATTGCCCTGTGCCCTAGCGTCAGCACGGGACTCGGTTCTCAGTATGGAACTTCAGCTTGATTCCGTGTCTAACTGCTCAGCAGCAAGGCAACTTTGGGCCCTGGTGATGGCAAGGACTTTAGGAGACACCCAGGACACAGGCACCTCTTTCCTGGGTTCTCTTGTACTGCATCCATCCTTCCAGGAGGTGGCCCCTCCGGCCTTAGCTCTGCCTGCTGTGTGTTGGATGGGAAGGCACCCTACCCCTGTGATACCAATTCCTGTTTTGCTCAACGGGCTACTCTGAGTCCTAGAAGACTCAAAGTAGGCGCTGAAGAGCCCATGCTCAGTTCCAAGTAGAGATACACACTGTGCTGTAGCTCGTCCCCAGTGTCGGCAAACGAGTTTGGGCATCAGGGATTGGGGCTCAGCACAACTGATGGAGTTTGCCCACCCCTGAAGTGTGCCTGAGCGTGCCATAGGAGGAAAAGCCAGAATGTTACAGGTGTGGTCCAGAGGAAACATGCTGGTGTTTCCACAATCTTATGTTCCCGGAACAAGGAATTGGACCAGGGACACAGATACTGGTAGAAACAGTTTATTAAGAGAGAAAGTACTCCCAAGATTGGAAGTGGGCCAATGGTAGAGCAAGGTCAAGGGTCCAGTGGCCCAGAACCTTCAGCATTCAGACCTTTATAGGTCACCTACAGAGGCAGCTATTGTGTGCAGCAAGCTTCTTGGCATGTTCTGCCTTTCCCGTGGCGCTGTTTTACATATGCTAATATTGATGCCTTGCTTGGCTCTATCCTCTTGTGGCAGGTACAAGGCCACTCCCAAGGTACCAAGGTGGCCTTGCCTGGTGGGCAAGTTATGGGGCCTCCCCCAAATGCTCTAACAAAGATAGCTTTACTGATGGCATCTGACACCTCAGAATGATGAGCAACTCTGGATGTCCCCAATAGTTACTCTACCTTGGTGACATCCCACTCCTGAAGAAGAAAGAAAAAGGACAGTGTCCCACTCAGCCTTCTCTTGAAAACCATTCTCCTAAGCTGTGATGTCTAAGGACACCTGGAGCATGGTTCCCCGTAAAACATCATTCCTGGCATCTCCCTGAGGATAGGCTTGACACAGGGACACTAGGGCTCCCCCTAGCTGCTAAGAAGCAGCATGGATCTTGAGGTCAAGGCCCCACCTGCCACTGAGATGCTGGCTTCCAGCCCAAACAGAGAGTGCTTTATTGGAGGGTATGGCTCGTACAGTCCTCCCTTGAGGAAGGGTCAGGTCAGGTAGTGCCCAGGTCCTCAAGGCCTCAGCAGGTAAGTCCCAGGGACCTCTCATGCTGATGGGCAGCATCTCTGCCAGCCCTAGGCACAGGACGGGGCATCCCCAGCTGACAGCCACTGCACCTACATTGGCTTGGTACTGGGAACCCAGAAGGAGGCTTTCCAGGTGGAGCTGTGTTTCCACAGAATATAACAGGGTCCAGGTACTGGGGCATATGAAATCACTCCATGTCCTCCTGGGGCTCCAGCTTGTGCAGGGCCTGCAGCCGGCGGCCCACAGTCTGCTGGACAGCCTCTAGCCCCTCTGCGTCTAGCTCCTGCAGCAGCAGCAAGATGGCAGTCAGGATGTTCTGGGGACAAAGAGGAAGACCTAGAGGCTGGCCGGTGGCACCCTTTGTAGGGCAAACAGTCTCAGGTAGGGCCTTCCAGGCAGCGGCTCAGGAAGGTCGCAGCACAGACTGGGCACACTGCTTCCCTATCCAGCTCCTGCCAGGCTTGGGTCTGTACCCTAGCTTTAGATGGAGAACCGGGCACAGAGGCTGAGGGTCCAGCATCCCTCAGGGTAGTATCCTCTCACAAAGTGGTGAAAGGGGTGTTTCCAACCCAAAGATAGGACAAGGACAGCTGAGGGGCAGGTCGGAACTGAATAACTCCCTTCAACTTCTGACCCAAGGCCTCTGCAAACCTGTACTTGTGTCCTTGTTCTACATGCTGGTCCAAGGGCAACCAGCTGGAAGCTGGGCCTTTCTCTGGGGCAGGTGTTCCTGTTCTAGCTGCAGGCTGGAGGATGCCTGGTAGGCACAGTAGACAAATGCCTTCTGGTAATTCTCTGTTGAGAAATTGAGGGCTTGGAGAGGGCACACACCTGATCTTCGTGTGTGTGTGTGTGTGTGTGTGTGTGTGTGTGTGTGTGTGTGTGTGGTGGCGGCAAGTGGAAAGAGAAGGAATCCGGAGGGAATAGTGACCTAGTGCGGTGAAGGCTCCAGCATGCTGGAGCAGGAAGCGGAACTGAGCTTGGGGGCTATGGCTGATACTCTTGCCTCATGTATCCCACTCTTCCTTTGAGCCCAGACCTGGCCCCTTTGGAGCCTGCTTCTGCTGTCTGGATAGAGGGGGTAGTGGTCACTCACCCTGTTCTTATGACTCCTCAAAGCATCCCTTTGTGAGAAGGAAGGGCATTGGTCTCCAGCAGTCTGGCCCTGGACCCTGCTGGTAAGAAGGAGGCAGTGAGACTGTGACAGTCAGAAGGTGCTGGGCACCTCCATCTTCATGTCAAATCCCACTCAGAAGATGCCAAGTCAACTGGCAAGTGGTCCCAGCTCAGAGCAGGCACCCTCAATCTAGATACCTTTATAGTGGCACAGGAGCCCAGTGTGCAGAATAGGTAGTGGCGCAGGAGCCCAGCATGCAGAGTAGAGGCCCAGAGCCAGGAGCAACTTCTCTGTGCCCAGGGCTCCCACCTGCAATGCTTTCTACCCAGGGCCTCAGGGAAGGCACTTCCACAGATGTGACCCTGGCAGGAGTCAGAGCCAGAGTTCATCTCCAGTGCCATTCACAGATGGGAGCTAGGAGGCTGCACCTGCCATTGGAACCCACAGCCTTCCTGTGCCATCCCTGACCAAGTTCAGTCACAACAGTGGCCCCCCAAGGAGCCACGACAGGCCCATGATGCTCCTGCCTCTGTATTACCCTTCCTCCCCTGCCCACTATTGAGCTTGCTCCCCTCCCAGAAGCAGACAGGAACCCTCCCTCCCATAGCCTGAGGACCCTCAGGACAGTGGGTCTTGGTCCCCTGCAGGCTCACTCTATCTCCTCTGGATAGCTCAGCAGGCTCTGGCTGGTCTCAGTTTCAGAGGTGACAGAGCCGAGGGTGTAGGAGGGCTTGGGACAGCCATTGCCTGCGCCTTCTCTGCCTGGGGCGGTAGTGATCTCATCTCCCTCCATCAGTGCACGAGTCAGCTCTTCCTCTGTCACAGCTTGGGGAGAAGGACAGGAAGGTAAGGGTGTCAGGGGCCTGTGTGGCACAGCTCCATATAGCCCTGGCCTCTTTGGGGCTTCAGGACACCTGCTGCTGCTGTGTGTACGGGGGAGGTGGGGGTGGTGGCGGCGATGGGGGCGCTGTCCCTGGGGACAGTCAGTCCTCCTTCCAGTCCCCAGGGCCAGAATATGTATGACACCTGGCAGAAAGGCAAGGGGGTTCTAGAACCTCAGGCCCAGGATCTTCTATGAACAAAACCCCCAATCCAGATAAATCTGTGTGGTGCTGGGGTTTGGCCCAGGGCCTTGCACATGCCGGCAGGCTCTCGACTACGTTTCCAGCCCCTGAGACAAATGTTAAAAGGAATGGGCTTCACATATTTGCGCCACTTGACTCACTCTTGTTTAGTAAGTGTCTGGGGGGAGGATCAGAAACTGGTTGCTAAGAGCATCAGTCCATGGAGTCAGTGAGCTGGGCCCTGTCAAGTGCCCATGGCGGGGGGGGGGGGGGGGGGGGGGGTGGGCCCCCCCGGGGGCCCGGGGGGGGGGGGGGGGGGGCGCAGCAGGATTGTCCTCCATGTGGCTCCAGAGGCCTGGCTGCCAGTGCAGCTGAGACCACCACATGCTTGCCCAGTCACCACACTCCACATCCTCGCTGTGGCATATTGATTTTCCTCGGGGAGGGGGGTAAAAGGAGGGGAGACTGTTGAGGCACACAAGCCCAGGTTAACAGACAGGTGCCCTGTGTGGTGCTGATGACACTGCACGATGGACGTGAGCCCATTCCTCAAGCTGGGGGCTGTGGAAGACAGGGAAGAAGGGGGTGCCTGGGAAGCCCCACACTGGGGACCGCCTCAGTTGCCCGGTGGGCAGACAGGCCAGAGCCTACCTTGGTTGTCCAGCTTCTGCAGGTGGGGCAGGTTGCGAAGCACAGTCATTCGGTAAAGGTGCGGGCTGGATCCGCAGCAAGGGTTCTCAGCCAGCCACAGCACCCTGAGGTGTGGCAGATCCTTTAGATAGAACAGCTCATTCAGACTAGGGATACGGTTCCTCCTCAGGTACAGCTCACTCAGCCGCCGGCAGCCACGCACGGGTTCCAGGGTGGAGACACAGTTGACGCTGCGGGACCAGCACAATGTTAGGGACCCATACAGTCTGGACTTCTGTGTGTCTGCCTCCATCTGTGTGTCTGCCTCAGTCGTGAGTACCAGCAGAAGGGTTTTGCCTTAGAAATGGGTCAAAGCCCACATAAGTCAGGGCTGGGGAAGGGTAGTGTCAGCAGGAGCCCCTCAACTTGAGACACCATGTTGGTAGCTCCCTGGCCTGGAGCTCTGGATTCACATGGAACCACTGTAGCAGAGAGGATGATTTACCCTCCTTCATAGGTGACACTGAGTCTCCAAGGGACACACTTAGCCCTACAGCAGGCATTGGCTAAAACTCAGCAAAAATGCCACAAGCTCTGTATCACACATAAATCAGATCTGACTTCCGGAATCCCAGGCTAAAGAGAAACAGGGTTTTAGGGTGATTTTGGTGCTGTAGGGGAGTGAACACAACACAGCAAAGGAAAAACAGCATCTAGCAACTCCCAAAGTCCCCGCCAATATGCCAATACACCAAGTCTTTACACGTGGTGTTCCACTCAACAGTGGCCAAACATTCTGCTTCCCAGAGCCAGGGCCCGGTCTGCCGAGCCAGCCTCACCCACGCTCCCTCCTATAAGGCTGCCCTGGTGTATAACATGCTCCAGAAAATGCCACCAGCACCATACTGACATGCAGAACGCACCTATGCCAGCACCTAGCAGGCAGGCAGCAGGGCCCCAAGTGTCAGCGCTAACCTGGATCCCGGAATGGGCAGACATGAATTTAACGATGGCTCCGTGGAAGTGATGGAATCCGGAAGGCAGGGGAGGAAGGGCACTGGTGGGGAGGGGTTCTTGGGGACAGATGTGGCCATAGGGAGGAGTGGCCTGGGTGGATACTGCTCATTATTTGGAGGCCTGCCTGACCACTGCTACCAGTACACAGATTATTTACCGAGGTGGATGTGAAAGGAGGCAAGCAGAGCTGAGCCCTTAGGAGGCCCAGGTAAGTCCCCGAGAGAGTGAATAGGAGCTGCAGGAGGGCCAGGCTCTCACAGTCCTAGTCCCAGGTAAGTCCCCAAGAGAGCGGATAGGAGCTGCAGGAGGGCCAGGCTCTCACAGACCTAGTCTGCAACCCTTCTGTCGCCAGAAACTGCCATCCTAGACAGTGCTATGGGCCTCCAGGTTTCCCATTTTCCCTGCGCCCCACAGGAAGGACATGACGTTCCCAGGACTACAGCGACGCAGCAGCCAAGTACCTGAGTGTGATCACTTCCAGGCTGGGCATCTCCCGGCATATGGAAATCTAGGGATGGAAGAATGGGGCTCGTGAGTTGGCAACAGTTTCGTGCTGTCACTTATCAGATCAGGGGAGACATCTGTCCACGGTCCTACCGCCTGCCCTAATGGAGCCAAGGGCACTTGCACAACCAGGGCACTCAGAAGAAATCAGCTGCCTGCTGGTCTCTGTGGCCCAGCCAGCCCTCGATGTGGTCCTCACTGGGTGTCTCTACTTGACAGTTCTAGACACAGCACATCATTACATTCAATGATCTCAATGGACATCTGGCCAAGGATTTTGTGGTTTCCTACACTGAGGTACAGAACCTTTTCTCTTGCTGCTCCTGAGGTACAAGGAAAGGACAGACGTCCTTCTTGCCAAAGGAGCTGGGCCCAGGGCAGACAGAACTGCAAGCAGGTTTTGGCCACCGCACACTGTCAAATCTGCAGATCAGACCTGGGCCGTGGGCTGCTGACATTTGGGGTGGGGTTGGGGTGTGGTACCCTGAGGCTGAGGGGAGGCCAGGCAGAGGCAGAGAGCCTCTGATGATGATGCCCTTGAAGAAAATCACCACCCAGGACTCCTCCCAGAGCAGGGCTTTGACTCTGCCCTCTTCTGTGTGGGACCAGGAAGTGGCATGGCACTGAAACTGACGACCACTGTTCTGTAACTTTATTCTTCTGGGGAAGAGGCATCAAGGAGATGATCCAATCAAGACAGAACTTACATCTGTGAGCTGGCTGCCCCTGGGAAGAAAAGAAATATACATTAATCTTGTCGAGTGGAAATAATAATAATGTAATAATAATAATTAAAATCCCCAGAGAAATGACAATTGCCTACAAATCTAAAGATTCTATGATCAGAATGGCACAGCAAGAAAAGCCGGTTGCCCAGATAACAGGAGAAGACATCACAAATGGTTAGGTTGATTTCTGACAATACTACACACTTGGTGCGTAGAGGATATACTGTCTGCAGAGCACACGATTTATGCCCGGCAGGCTCCCACAGCAGAAAGAGGTTCCCTCTCATAAACATAAACAAAGGGGTCTTCAGAAGAGGCCAAGTTCAAAGGCTGATCATGCAACTTAGGAAGCAAGCATCGCAGGCCCGCAATGTGGCTGCTGCTTCTGTCTGCACAGAGTCCTGCCACGCTGCCTCAACAAAGAAGGGCATTTATTGGAAACCCAGGACAGAGAGGACTGGGCGCCAACACCAGATGTGCTGGGGCAGAGAAAGGCTTTTAATTAACAAAGCTCACTCCAGTACTATGCTCCAGACCCACGAGCAGCAAGGGTCTGAAATTGCTCTGCCCCTTTCTAGATGCTCTGGTCACAGAGTCCCATCCGAGTCCCCAGAGACACCTGTAGCTCTTCCACACCCCACTGAGGCAAAGTTATCCGGAAGCCCTGGACTTTCAGTCTTAGTGTGACCCAGCCATGCACTTTTGAGTGCATCAACTCCCTAGCGTCTAAGTTCCAGGCAGTCACCCGTACCAGGTCGCCCTCTGCAGCATCTGGTGATGGGGTGTCCATGGAATCATGACTTTACAACCTCACTTCTCTCTCCCTGTAGACACACCCCTAAGTATCTTTGTTTCAAATACCAGACACAGTCACAGAGTGTTAGTGAAAGCCCCTCGGCGAGACTAGAGGGAAATTCTAGTTATCTGGTGAGGGCCGCACCCATCCGCGGCACTGGCCGGAGAAAGAGCCTGCAACCTGGCTAGCTTAGGGCAGCAGGCGCCCAACTTGGCCTCTGCTTCCTCCCGTGCCTGGCTGGCCTCACCAGCAGTTGAGCTTCCGCACGCTGTGCAGGTCCGAAGCCTTGGCTCGGGACAGGACCATCTTGCGTGTCAGCTTCATGGCGGCCGAAGGGCCGCGGGCCCGGCCGCCCTCCCTTGTACGGTCGGCTAGCGGGAAAAGCCTTCGCCGCGGTGCGTCTCCAGGGGCGGGGCCCGAGTCTCCAGGGGCGGGGACTGATGTCCCATTGGTGAACAGGAGAGAGGGCGGAACCGCGCGGGCGCAGTGGGACGGCTCCACTTCCGGGACAGGAGGCTTCGCCCCGCCCCTTTGGAGGCGCGACAGTCCTGCGCGTGCGCAAGGCTCCGGGTTTGCTGCCTCTGGACCGCCGGTCGCGACTTCATGTATACGGGTGCGTGAGAAGGACGACTCCGGGTTGCAAGAGTCTGCGATGGGCTGGCTGGGTCGAGAAAACTTACGGTGCGAGAGTCTCAGGATGCCCGGCAGTCTCGGGGACGTCGGGGAAGACAGAGCGCCTCAGTGAAAGCCGGTTCGAGTCGAGAAGGGCGACAGAATGTTCGTGGAGTACATGCTTGCAGAAACCCCTCCTCGACCGCTAGCTCCGGATCCTCATCCCTGTCAAGGCCCTAGTCATCGTTGCGCCCTCGCCCACTTCTTTTCGAGCCCAAACCAGGGATTTGTGTGACAAAACAGCTAACCGACGAGGCGGTGGCTTGTATTTGCTGCCCTCAGAGGCTGAGACAGTACCTGGGTTACGGAGTGGGACGCTGTTTCAAAAAAACAAAGCCAGGGGTCGGGGCTGGGACCGAAGAAACTCAGGCAGCTTTTCCGCAGCTTTCCCACGGCACCTGTGCCGCGTGTCACAGCCTTCTGTCAACTCTAAGTCCAGGGGATCCTATGCCTTCTTCTGGCCTCCGCGTGCACCAGACACAAGCACCTATGCGTACGCAATCAGGCTGTGGGGATGGCCCTGATTCTGCAGCTCCTCCAGTCTTGCTATCTGGCCCTTGCCCATTGATACCTCCGCTGAGACTTCCCTGCAAAAAGCCTTGCGAAAGGCAACTCCTGGAGGCTTGATAGGGGAAGGGTCTAAGGGAGGAGGCCCTGATGCAGAATTGTGGTATCCCAAAGGTTTAACTGAAGCAGTGGAGGGCCTTGACTTTCAGGGCCTGTAGCTTTTCCTGCCATGAGTAATCATAGGTAGCTGAGCTAGGACAGTGCCCCCTTGAGTTGCTACAGCACTGCTCTGTCGGCCTGGAAACAACCGCTTGTCTCTGGTTTCTCTGGCATCTCTGGTTTAGAAAGATAGGAGGAGGAGGGAGAGGAGTGTCATGTAGTCTACAAATACGTAGAGGCTGCAGACTCTATCATATTTGGTGGCTGCTTGGAGGGCCTGCCAGTTAGTGGAAAATCCTGATGGCTGGCTTCAGCTGAGATTTATAATGAAAGAATCCTAAGCACGTGATTTTGGGGTGGACTGCTGGGGTTTAGCTGTGTTCCCAGAACCTGCTTCCCCCAACAACTCCCGGCTAGGTTTGACCCAAAGAGAAGCAAGCAGCTTCTGAAAGATGTAGGAACAGCAGCCGTGGACATGGGAAGGGAAGGTCACCGTGGTGAGAGATGACAGAGTATAGGCAGTCCTTGTTACACTGCAGCCAACAGTCTGTCCTCACGGCCATCCTGCACACGCTTTAGAAGCGCCATGGCATCATTTGGTGCGAACTCAGAGCGGAACCCTTCTGTTCTCCCAGCTCTACCTGTCTGGCCCTGCGTCTACAGCCGGGGCCACTTGGCTCCCCATATCCTGCAAGTGCCCTTGTCCCACTTGGGAGGGCTGCAAAGGGACTTCCCTGAACTCTGCAATTTCTCTTTTCCAACTTCCACCTCCCTACGCTGTAACCCTTGCCTCAAGTTTGGCACCTGTAACAAAAGTCTCACTTCAAATGCAGAGGCATGTGCTTTCCTGCAAAGAACCCTGGCACAGACAGGAAAGTAGCCCCAACTTACTTTAACCAAACGGAAACACTGCCTTTCATGCCTGAGAAACTTGAGTAGTGGCTTCTCACCTCAGGGCAACCACAGCACTCAGTGCAAAAAAAAAAAAAAAAAAAAAAAAAAAAAAAGAAAAAAAAACGGCCCAAGACTGCTGTGGTTGGCTTCCAACTGTAGGTATGACGTTGACAGATTCAAATCTGGCAGGAAGAGTGCTTCACGCACTTCCTCAAGCCCACGTGTGGGGACCGGCCCTGTTTGGGTTACGTGCTGTCCATGAACTTGGCCGTGTACTACCCCAACTGTGGTCCGTAGCCCTTCAGAGTGACTGTGCTGTTAAGTGTCCGAGCTTGAGTTTGTTGGGATTTACAACAGGCGCATGGTGCCCCTTCATGAAAGCTGTGTCCGTCGAGCTCCCCGAACAACTTGCAGGCAGTGGGTGCTCACACGGCGTCCTCTACTTAGCAATTGTAGCTGTCTGTCTATCCTCGGGGAGAGGCCTTTGAGTCTTGTAAGTTTCTGAGCTTCCTGAGCCTTGTGGGTTTCTGCCCTGGGGAGGGGGGATGCTTCCTCAGGGGCCTCCCTGGGCACAGAGAGTCGGAGGATCTTTGCTGACAGGGTGGTCATCGATAAGGACTTGGCGAGGAGAGGGAAGGAGTCAGGCGATAGGGGAATTTAGCAGCTCTGACTGTCTAGCAATCGGGCAGATTCTGTGGCTCCTGCCTCACCAGCAGCCGGATGCTTCTTTATTTATACAAGTTTCACAAAACAATGACAGACTAATGATTATCCAAGTGGTACAGAGTATGCGTTTGATTTTTCATTACATGTCCAGGGTTACAAGATCAGTTACAATTAAAAAATACAAGCAGAACAGATATCATTATTATTATTATTAGCCCCATAATTCCAATTTAAAGAATCTAAATAATGCCTTCTGCAAAGCAAATACATGTTATATATGACAGCCTGCTTCTAGGCTGGCAATGTTTGCTGTTTAAAAGCATTCCAGACAAACAGAAAAAATCTCAACCGGTCTTTTTATGAATAGCAAATACTAATATCTAATTTCTTTAACTACATGTTTCATCATCTACGCTATAAAATAGGAAGCATCTATTTTAGTCAATTTATCTTATTTACTGAGTTTACTTCCTTCAGAAGTGTACCCTGCACGAACTCCTATTATTTTTTATTTTATTTTTGTTTTTTTGAGACCGGGTTTCTCTGTGTAGCCTTGGCTGTCCTGGACTCACTTTGTAGACCAGGCTGGCCTTGAACTCACAGCATTCTGCCTGCCTCCGCCTCCCTGAGTGCTGAGATTAAAGGCGCGTGCCACCATGCCCGGCTTTTTTCTTTTCAACTTTCTTTCTTTTTTTGGATGACCCCCTATCGTTAAACTACATTTTCAGAGAGTGCTAAGCCTAGGATAAAAAAGATCTTGAATCTGTAACCTATTCTCTTGGCCATTCAGTTTGTCAGTTGTCTGTTTACCCTGCACCAATTCTGCTGTTTGAGTTAGCTCAGGGGCAGATACCCCAAGAAGATTCCTGGAGTAATGACCTAATCTAGCTATGTGCTTATCTGTGCATCCAAGTAGTGGCCAGATAAAGTTAATTTTAGGATTTTCCTAAAAAGACTCAGGCATAGTCCTTCTCAGGAAAAGATATATAAATTGAATCATAATGCAGAAAGTCCCCAATAATACACACACTGGGACAAAAACAAAAACCCCCTAAAGTTACAGATAGAAGGATTGAGACTGGAGCAAAATCCTCTCAGCTTTGCTGTGCTCCGTTTCCAGTAAACATGGCTGTGCCAGGTCTCCTTTGCTTTTTCAGTCTTGTGTGCCCCCCCACCCCCTCCCCCGCCTTGATGAGCAAACATTTCAACTCAGAGGAAACAGTTACACAACACTTGGGAGTCTACCTCTTTATTTTTCTGCCCCTGAAAAAGAGTGACGTGGCTGCTGTAGAACGCCGCCTTCATCAGATCAACTGTGCCTATTTGCAACAGCCCATCAGGAGTGGCCTCATTGACTACTGATGTTCTCTCATGGAGGGGTTGGGGAGTTAAGCTCCTCCTCCCAGCCATTTGTATCCAACATGGCCCTAATTACGTGAGGTCTTGGTGGCTCCATTTTTGAGGCTGTTGGTGAAGCTATCACCCATGTTGTGTTTTTTTTTGTTTGTTTGTTTGTTTGTTTTTTTTTTTTTTGTATCCCCCACATGATCCTATCAGTAACCTCTTACCCATTTTCTCTAAGTAAGCCCAGAAAACTCATTGGTTCCCCAGGATGAACTTTGGTGAAATCTCACTTTGGTTTGTAGTTAGAACCGTATGAGGGAGTGGGTAACATGGTTTACATGTCCCTAGGGAAGGAGTTGGCCATACAGTGCCCCTCGTGGGCTTGCAACAGAGGAGCTGGCAGACCCCAGGCAGGGGCAGGAAAGGCGGTGCATCAGAGCTGCAGGCACAGTGGAGCACAAAGCCACGGAGGGCTGTGGTGTATGTGAGATAATTGATACGAGGGCGGCTTTTGCATCATTTGGCTGCCTGCCGGCCACTTCTTGGTAGCTCACAACTGGTACCCTCCCTGGAGATGTGGCCTCAGGCCATGCTCCCCTGCAGTCACTGGATGCTGATTGGATGGGCACCGAGACAGGTCCCAGGCCTTAAGGTTACAAAGCCGTGAAGGCTGTGAGTTCAGGCTCTCGGCCACACCTGTGTCACAGTGTGGATCGTTTTGTCCAGCCCCACCCCTTCTTCTTCTATCTGAAGGCCCTGCTTTGATATTCCTCCCAAAGATGAAACTCAGAGCCTGGTCCTGGGAAGTTGCCAGCAGAGGTCAGAAGAGGGCATCAGATCTCCTGGAACTGTACTTATAGGTGGTTGTGAGGCCCCAAGTGGGTCCTGGGAACTGAATGAAGTAGGATCTTCTGAAAGAGCAAAGAGCATTGACCACTGTTACTGTGTGAGCCTGCTCTCTAGCCCCCACCACACACAGCGACTCTTTACTGCATCAGAGAATACCTCCATTCTCAATGGTTACATGGGCCCAGGTACCTCTTATGTTTTTAACCCAATGGAGGTCTTTTTGGCCCTTATAGCCAGGATGCTGAGGATCACACCACCTATGCTGGTTCCTGTCCTAGGGTCCTTACTGGGGCTCTGTGGGACAGGACCCCATAGGGGACATCTGGAAATGCTGAGCTGCCTTGGCTGTAGTTCAGAACGTGTACAGGTTTATCTTCCTGTCCTCTCCCAAGCTCAGTGTGGGGCACACATCTCAGACGGAGGCAAGCATGCAGGGCTCTGTGTGTGCACTTGTGAGTCTCACAACACATACAGCAGAGAATAATCTCATCTTACGTAGGTTGTGGGTTCATGTCTCATATCCATATTCCTTTAAAAGTTTTTTTTTAAATATGATTTTTAAAATATGATTTTGTTAAGACAGATTTTTTTTTTTAGGGGGGTTAGATTCTGTTTCTATTTTTAACTATGTGTATATGTGTGTGCCGATGTGTGGGTATGTGCTGTTGATTTTTACTCAAAATTATTTTGGGGGTCAACCTGGAGAATTGCCAGGGCGACACCAGCTGCTTTTCTTACAATTTCCTGCAGTGCTTTCCCACCACTGAGTGCTCAGGAGCAATCCTGTCCTTTGGCTGAGATGTCTCTGGAATGCAGAGACTCTGTTGACTCTCTGGATGAAGGAAAGCAAGGTTGTTCCCCACTCTCAAGCTGGATTCTCACCTCCGAATCTGGCACGCTGCCCGTTTTTATAAATAAAGTTTTATTGGCACACAGCCATGCCCGTCCACTTACACATTCGCTATGGCTGCTCTTCCTCACAGGGGCAGAGTCAGTGCTGGAATATTGCAGTTAGCATATGCTCTATAGAGTAAGTGTGGGAGCTCTGGGCTCAGACCTCTTCTCCTTCCACAGCCTGTTTCTCCGTCATGACCTCCATGCAGGGAGCCGTCGGGTCACCACATTTCTGTGGTTTTCTTTCTGCTGTCCAAGCAGGGGCTTTTTATCTTGGGCATAAAGTCGATGCCTTTAAAAAAACAACTTTTTGTGCTGAATATTCCCTTCATGAGAACGGAGGCGACTTTCTGGCGAGATGAGCACACAGTGCGCCTGAGTTTTATGGATGGCGCCCATCATTTTTTTATGGATGGATATTTCATAAATGCTACTGTGATGGCATCTTGGCAGATGTGATATGGACTTTCCTGTAACCTGTTGTTCTTCTCCAAAAGAGAAGGAGCCCCTCGGGACCACGCAGCACAGATACTTCGTGGGAGATGCATCGCTCACTGACCACTCACCTAAGATGATGTTCCCAAGGGATCCCCGGGCTACTTGGAATCAGAGGTCAGTCTGTTCATCAGCTGGCCACACTGCAATTACCGTCTTATGAAATATTAACTGCCCATAGTGATTTCGTTTAATGAGGCGTCTTAGGGAAGGATCGTGCGTCCATGTGTAGATGGCCTGGGGGAGTATCTGCTTCCTTACCTGCTACCCTAGGTCTGGGCATCTCTCCTGGGAGTGGCAGCTTGTCCTATAACCTACCACTCAGTGAGCCCTAGTCGCCAGGCACAGGGACCGAAGCAGAGGACAGGAAGAGATCCAGGTGCCCACGCAGCATACAGCCTAATAGGGCAGAGTCACTGCACCGATGACCATGTGCCTGGCCTGTGGCCACCTTGCCACTGCTTTGGAGGAGAGACAGCCCCCTTCCCCACCCATTGCATTTATTTCTAACAGCATGTCATGAGCCTGTCTCTACAAATAGTGCATCATTGCCATGGCTCCATCCGGACTGGGGTAGGCTGGATGGGGAGATAGTGGACAACCTCAATGGTGGGCATCAACAAGCTGGTTGGTTCCTCTGGGGCAGGGAAGCCACAGGGCAGCTGACAAGAACCTTCGATAGTACATGCTGAATCAGGGTCTGGACAGGGGGCTGATACCATGGGGAGGAAACTGCTGGCCAGGCGTGACTTCCTGGGAAGATCCCCCACTATCAGATCAAAGATCATAGATCAATCTTCTCCAAGTTCCTGGCACTGGGGCTAATGGCTCTGGAGTTCTGCTGGGCATTGCCTATGGTGTTGGGAATGGAGAGGGAAGAATGTGATTTGGAGATGAAAGAATGGCTGAGGAAGTCCCCGCCATTCTCTTAAGATAGTCAGTGCAGTGCTTGTCATTTTGAGGAACCAGGCACAACGCATACAGGATTAACTGGGGGGTGATTTGGAGGGGGGGAGGGGCATGCATCTTTGGGTCCTGGAACCTTTCCTATTGCAGGCTCAATTGGGATTGAGCCTTTTTTTTTTTTTTCCTGTTTTCTCTGTTGTGTGACACTTTTGGGGGGACCCTGGTGCTGCCCCAGTCTTCAGTTCCAAAGGGGTGATCCTAATGTAAGGGTAGCTGCAAGAGACTTCTAACAGGAGGGTCCTGAGGTAGGTGTATGTCGGTACTTAAGTTGGCTCGGGTCCAGCAGGAGACCCTTGGCGCTGGTTCAGGGCTTGGAGACAAGGCTTCGGTGGCACACACAAAGCTCTCCCTCTCAGGACCGCAAGTGCCATTCTGAGCATCTGTCACTAGGTGTCCTGAGGAGACCGACCCGCAGCGGAGCATCTCAGGAGGCCCAGCACATGCTTGGTTCCACGTTCTGAGTTGCGGCTGCCACATAACCAGGCTGAATGACGCAGAGTGCGGGGCGGGCCACTCAGGCTGCGCCTAGCGGAGAGATGCGGGTTAGGGCGGCTGTCCTGCGCAGCTGCGCGAGTGACGCTGGGGTGCGCGGCCTCTGAGCAGGTACCCGGCGCTGGTAGCGGGGCGCTGACCCAGCATCTGGAGAGGAAATGCGGGTTTAGTCGGGGGAAGGGAGCGATGGTTGCAGGGGGTCAGGCGGAATGCGGGGAGGACGCTCTGTCCCGGGAGTGAGTGAGAGGTACAGGGGCACGGGTTGCTGTGTCCTTTGAGTGTGGCAGAAGTGTAAAGATTGAGTCTCGGACCCGGGTGCAGGCATGAGCTTGAGTGCTGATGGCTCTCTGGTGTAGAGATTTCAGCCTGGGTGTGGGGGGGGGGAGGTGTGCCCTGGGAAATGGGGCATAGGTTGGGGTGTTGAGGGGCTGCAAGGTTTGAGCTGCACCCAGGTACAGGTTTGGGAGCTAGTAAACGGCACAGGCTCAGTGTCAGCCGGTGTGGTCTGTGCCCACGCTATCGCTCCCAGCTCCCGGCGCTTTCTCTGGACTCTTTCTCTTAGCTCCTGTGCCCTTTCCTGTGCTTAGCTGTTTAGATCTGAAGTGCTTTCCAGGCCCGTATGTCCAGGATGCCTGAGGAGCAGAGCACCAGCAGGAAGCCCGAGTGCCATAGAGTTTACAGTGAGTGAGGCAGAGAAGGAGCCACATGTCCCGGCCATCAGCCGGGGCTCGCAAGGCCTCCCTCCCAATAAAGTCCCTTATGTTTTCTGGTACATCTGTGTTCCGGGGTGCCCAGATACACCCCGTGTACAGAGGTCTTGAAAGCTAACGCCTACTTGGAAGATGTGCTCAGAGCCCAATTGCGTTTGGCTATACATCCGTTCCTAATGGGGGTCATCTCAGCAGAGGCTGGACTTGGTTGCTGTGAGGCTATCAGGGAGGGTCTTCCACTGTCCATCCCCCACACCTGAGCCCTTGCCTGTCTCTTCCAGTGTCTGTGTGAAGAGTTCAGATTTGAGGGCTCATCTCACATAGGGGTCTTGCTCTGTTCCAGCCTGCTGGCTTCTACAGGTAGACCAGATGGCCCAGACAAATACATTTATAGGTGTCATGTTATATGTCCTATATCCAGGGTGTAGGTACTGGTGTGTCCTCGCTGTCTGTCTGTCCGTCCATTCATTCTTTTCCCTTTGGAGTGCTCTGGACACACACATTTATGCCAACTGCTTGTGGAGATTTTTGGTTATATGCTAGTGTGGGCAAAGCTTCATGTAGGTGTCAGTGGCTGGGGAACCCCACTGAGGGCCAGATGAACACTGATTAAGGTCATTGTCAGTCCTGGGTCTCAGAGCTCCTCCGTCTATATAGCCTTTTACTTTTGGGCAGAGGATAGGAAGGGAAAGAAGCTGAGGCAGGGTCACATTGTGGCCTAAGGACAGAGGTGGGTCCGGGGGATGGACAGCTGAGGGCTGTTTGCAGCTGGGTTTTGAGGACATCTGCAGAGACCCAGTGGCTATGCTGAGACAGCAGCTGTCTGAATGTGAATCTGGATTCAAATACCTCGGAGTTCTCAGGACAGGTGAAGCCATCAGACACTTGCTGTGTACTTGGCCTCCTGGCATCTGGAGGGTAGGCTATCTCAGAATAGCTGCCTCTAGTCTCGGTCTCTCCACACTGGTTTCTGTATTGGCTCCCTTCCCTCTTCTGTCACCTGGGCTTCTTTATTTCTCTGTAGATGGGAGTCAAGACTGGTGGTCACTGAGGGTACAAGCTAAGACTCTTTCAGTCACATACAATCTGTGTCCTGTACTCTCCCTGTTGTGCAAGAAGCTGGCCAGTATTTATTCTCACAGCCCTGGGGTTCTTTGGGAGTGGGATGGAGAGAGGATGGTAGATCAAAGGGTCACAGCATCTGTCTGAAGCCAGCAACTGTAGCCACAGTTCAGCCGCAAGAGCCCTGAAGAGAGCAGGAGGAATGTTGGTCAGCAACTGGGCAGAGGAGCAGCTTGGAGACCTGGTGTCCGAGAAGTGATGTTCAGTGCAGGGAGGGGCACAAGTGTGTGGTTGGTTTTTGCCCCTTGGCACTCCCTCCTGTTTGCCTGCCGGAACAGCTGAGTGAGGGGAGATTGGCATCAGAGGACGGCCCAGGGAAACCTTGTAGAAATGAATACCTTTGTTTTCCTTAGGTTTGTTTTGGTTTTCGTTTTAGTTTTTCAAGACAGGGTTTATCTGTGTAGCCCTGGCTGTCCCAAACTCTCTTTGTAGACCAGGCTGGCCTTGAACTCAGAGATCCGCCTGCCTCTGCCACCCTAGTGCTGGAATTAAAGGTGCAGGCCACCATCTAGCTTCATCATAGTTTCATCAGTGAAAAGGAAACAGAGGTGAATTCTGCCATTTTGGCTCTCATGAACAGCACTGAAGTGATGCTGGCCGCAGGTGTGTTTGGCATTCAAATTGAGTTTTCTTCTGACATTCCCACCAGGAGGACTTCGGGGTCGGATGGGATTTCAGCTCCCCGGACTTCTTTACTTCCACTTGAGTTTGTCTTTCAGCTTGCTCACCATGCCCAGCTTGTTTTCTTTAGTTGTCACCTGAGGAAAACTGACAGCGTTTTTGTGGCCTCCTGGAAGCAGAGCCAGGGAGGGACGGTTTGTACCGACAGACCAGGGGTCATTAACAGCTGGCTTCTTAGGGCGAAGCCTTGTGGTAACTCCCTCCCAGACCTACTTCGTGGGCCAGCTTTTATCTTCCTTTTGGAAAATAAAAGAAGCCAACTGATTTCTACAGCCATGAGATGCAGAACCACAGGCCACACACCAGGGCATGTGGAGACTATAGTAATTTATCTAGTTTCACTGGTCTGGGCTCTCATTCAGGGAACTGGTGAATGGTGATGCTAAGGAGACACATGAGTCCCCATTAGGAATGGGCTCTGATGGCTCTCAGACGCATGCATGCTTGTAGACTGTCCAAGGGCTCTGCTAGGTGATAGACCTCTGGAAGCTTGGAGAGGTGTCCAGACAAAGGGATGTCCAGACAAATAGATGAAGACTCCACAGAGGAAGCAGGTGGGTGTGTCCACTCAGAACTGCAGCCTCATCTTCCTCTTTCAGAAGTATTTCAGTACCTCTCTCCCGGACTGTTTTTCTAGAACCCCCCCAGCCTCACAGATGAGATGAGAATTTCCTGATGGCATCTAGAGATCTCTCTTCTCAGGTGGATCTGGAGCTGTGGAGGATGGAGTCCTCAGACTGGAGAAGACCTGGCTCTGAGCAAGAGGAGGGCTTTGGGGTGCAGGCCAGGAGGGCCACCGATCTGGGCATGGTCGCCAATCTCCGGCGAAGCAATAGCAGCCTTTACAAGAGCAGGAGGCTTCTGTGCCCCTTCAGCAGTGAGAAGGTAGGTTCCTGCTGGCTGGTCTGCTACATGCCGGGCCACAGAGGCTGCCCAATGGTCACCGTCGCTTAGGTCACCCTGGGTTAGTCCAGGCAGCCAGTGACCACAGGCTCATTTCCTACCTAGGTATAGGATCTGCCCACTTCAGTACCTCCGGCCCAGAAATGCTCTTTGAGAGAGGAGAGCCAGGGATATGATGCAGCACCAGCCAGATTGCTTACTGAGTTTTACCCACATACAGATGTTTCCTCTTCTCCACCGCTTGAGAAATGGCCAGGTGGACCCTGAGGCCCCGTGCCAGACGATGGAAGCCCTCACTTCTGTCTTCCTGTTGCACCATAGCTCTATCTCCTCTATCTTTCTGTGGCATCCAGGGGTATCACCTCAGGCCCCAGGCTAGTGTCACCAAAAGCCCTTTTGAGTAATCACATCAAAAGTATATTTGAGCATGTGGTCAGACAGGCAGGAGGGTATCTTGAAAGCCAGGCACCAGGTTTTTCACCCCAGATGGCCTTTTCATTTCTTCTTAAAATAATGTATTTATTTTCATTTTTATGCGCATCAGTGCTTTGCCTGCATGGATGTCTGTGTGAGGGTGATAGATCTTGAAGTTACAGACAGTTGTGAGCTGCCATGTGGGTGCTGGGAATTGAACCCAGGTCCTCTGGAAGAGCAGCCAGTACTCTTTACCGCTGAGCCATCCCTCCAGTCCCACCCCCTGCCCCTGATGTTATTTTCGTATCCTACCATTCCCAAGGAAAGCAAGATGGACATAAACTGTAAAGGGCTCAGCGCAAAGTATCCCCGCCTGGGAGAAAAGGATTGCATAGGCTCATCCCTGCCTCCTGAATACACACTCCAGGATGGGCCCCAGCAAGGGAACTTTTAAGCTTTGAGGTGGCTTTGGGTCCCTCAATGGAAGCTTGTCAAGGAGCAGAGAGAGGTCTAAGGGAGGCCTGGGGTATGTGGCTTCACAATGTCGACATGCTCTTTTTGACTCCCAGCAAGAAAACCTTAGCTCATGGATTCCTGAAAACATCAAGAAGAAGGAGTGTGTGTATTTTGTGGAAAGTTCCAAACTCTCTGATGCGGGGTAAGTGGCGCGGTTTTGATTAAGCTCACTGACGCATTTCTCTTTGTGCCGTGTGACTGCCTGATAGGACCTGCTCATGCCGCCTCAACCAGGGCCAGTAAAAGGGCATCTGGTGTCCATGCCAGGCTGGGAACCCCTAAGTCTCCCCATCTCACCTCAGGAGACACTTGGGAACATGCCCAGTCCATGTCCTTCATGTCCCAAAAAGTAATGTGCTCTGCAGATAGGTCAGCCTACGGCAGAGGGCCGGTTGACCTGTCCAGTGATGTGTCCAGAGTCTTGCTATGGCTGCGAAGCAGCCGTGTTCAGGTCAAGCCTGGTGGGCCAGGGCTCCATTTCATGTCTTTGTCCAAAGAGTCAGGGAACCAGGAACTGTGGGGACCTTGGGAAAGTCCACAGGCCAAAGAAAGTAAACGCTGATTCAGTCAATGTGGTCTGTGTGAACTTGGGTTCTCCAAAGTCACCCCATGTGCTCACTGAGACTTGAGGGCTCCATGTGTTTGTGTTCAGGGCAGAGGGTCATGGCTGTGAAAGTACCTTCTCCAGTTGCCTATGTTGGAACTTCTGCTTTCGAATCCCAGAGAGAGCCTGTCTTAGATACTGACTGTTCTGGTGCTGTGAAGGAAGAGACACCATGATCAAGGGAACTTAAAAAAAAAAAAGAACACTTAATTGGGGGCTTGTTTATGGCTTTAGAGAATAAATCCATGGTCATCATGTTGGGGAGAATGGTAGTAGGCACGCAGGCATGACACTAGAGCAGTGGAGAGCTTATGTGTTGAGACAATAATCATAAGGCAGAGAGAGAGGAAGAGAGGGAAAGACACAGAGAGAGAGAAGCTGAGAAGGTGGTGTAGGATTTTGAAACTTCAAAACTCACCCTCAAGGATATAGCTCCTTCAACAAGGCCACACCTCCTAATCCTTCCCAAATAGTTCCACCATCTGGGAATCAAGTATTCAAATATATGAGCCTAGGGGGCCATTCTCATTCAAACCATCACGGGGCCTGTATGTACTGACAGTCACTTAGAGGTCCACCTGGCAGCCACCAGTGGAAGGAACACCAGTGTTCAGCAAGTGTCATATTATAGCAGCAGGATAGACCTGGTCAGGAGGGCTCCTGTTTCCAGCCTCCAGGTTGAAGATGGGCCACCTGGTAGGTGGATATTCTTCCATTCAGCCCCATGGTGCTGGGGGAGGGGGAGCATCTTACATTTTTCCTCTGCCTGGTCCCTGGAGTCAAGAACACGGGACTGAGAGTGTGCCATTGCCCATGGACAGGCAGAGGAGTAGAGGGAATGGCCAGCATTCTTCCTGTTAGGACAGAGCCTAGGAGCAGATTCACCACTGTGGCCACCAAGCACTTTAGGAACTTCCTTTCTCTACATGTCCTGTCAGACCCAGAACCTTCATTTCCTGACTCCATCCCTCTGGTTTCTTAGTCCCCCAGTACCAGTGGCCACCCTCAGCTTAGCACGGATGTGTCTCACATCCCTTTGGACTGCTGCCACCACAGTCCAGACATTGCCCCATGTCGGCGAGCATTTCCCTCTAACTGTGGGCACATCACCTCTTTCCCACCCTGAAGCCTGATTCTGCAGCATTCATCTGAGGTTGAAGTGGGGCTGGGGAGGTCTTCATCATTAAAGCATGGATGTTGAGCAAGGCCAAGGCCATCACATCTGGGACAGGGTCTCTGAAGCATCCCCACGAGATCTCTTTCCTGTATGTAATTCCTCTTTATGCCTAAATAGGCCGAGACTGTCTGGTTATTCCATTTCTGGGTTATCTGTCACAGCACAGCTTCCTGTTACGGGGTAGGCTGGAGAACACCAGGGGGCTTCAAGGGCTCATTTGGCCAAAGAGAGGAGAGAATGGAGACAGCTTGGCATTGCCTGGGGAGATCCTCCACATCATCAGGTCAAGATACAATAGCCAGGCCTTATCTCAGGGACAGGTCCCTGCCTTCACCTAATCCCGGCCACAGAGTGAGACCACACAAATGTTCCTTAAGATCCTTAAGAACAGGGTGGTGGCACACACCTGTAGTCCCCGTACTTGGGAGGCAGAGATGGGTGGATCTCTGAGTTCAAGGCCAACCTGGTCTACAGAGTGAATCCCAGAACAACCAAGGCTACACAGAGAAACACTGCCTTGAAAAAACAAAAACAAAAAGCAAAAAAAGTCCCTAGAAATAAAAAATACTTGGAGTCCCTTTCAGGGGTCTCTATGATTTTTTTCAGAGTGGAGCAAGGGAATGTGACCCCTCATGAACCTGGCAGCGACAGTGGCAGCCTTCCCCGAATCAGCTGCCTTCTGCTTGTCTGGGTTCTCGAGTTCATCTGGTTTAGATACATCCTCTGCCTACGCTGTACCTTGTCTTTTTTAGGGCTCAGTATATTGCGCTTGCCTCTTCTCTTTTGTGTTGGACTTCTATAGTGTGTGTCCCACTTTTAATTTGGAAATAACTATAGATTTGAAGGAAAGATATGCCTTGTCCCAGTAGCTCTGCTCTGTATAACTGTGGTGCTGTATCAGAACTGAGAGTTCACCCTTGGTCAGAGTTCGCTCTGTTCCGTGTCCTTTTGCACACTTGCAGAGTGTGAGTCTACTCACTCAGGATGCACGCAGCTCTGTTCCCACACAGAGATGGCCCTGTACTTCCTCTCGAGGTCACACATACTCACTGCATCCTTCCTCACCCTGTAGCAACCAGTAATCCAATCTTCATATCAATCTTCTGTAAATCTGTCTTTTGGAGAATGTCCTATGCCTCCTGGCCTGTGTCACACAGATGACACCACATAGTGGGAGAGCTGTGCCTTTTGGCTCATAGCCCTTGAGATTCATTCATGTTCTTGCATCGATTTTCACTGTTGAGCAATTCCCTAATTGTATATATTTGAGGGGAGACTTTGTCGATAATGACTACATCCTGGGTTTGGTTTTGTTTTGCTTTGTTTCTTGACCCCATCTGTCAGTCTCTGAGCTCTCTCTCTCTCTCATCTTCTCTCTCTCTCCAAGGCTGACCTCAAACTCACAAATCTGCTTGCCTCTCCTTCCAAGTGCTGGGACTAAAGGTGTGTGCCACCATGCCTGATGTACTCTCTACTTTTCAATGGGTGTATTTAGATCATTTACCTTTAATATAATTATTGCTGAATTAGGGTTTAAAGCTCCCATTTTTTTCTGTTTTCTTTCTGTTTCAGTTCAGCCTTTTTGTGGTTGCTGTGGTTATTAAGGTTGCATAACAAAATGTGTCATTATCCACAAGTGCTGAGAGTTGCAGTAGATGCAGAAACACATCCTTTCACCATTTCTCACTTACAATAGTTTAGAATACCATGTTTGATCCAGTTCAACCACCAAACATAATTTTAAAAATTCAAGAGAAATGAAATGTACTTACTCATCTTGTTACTCTTCCTACTGTTTCATCTTCCTCTCTGATATTCAGAATGTCTTTGTCCTTTTACTTTTGTTTTGACAATTTTTTTTTGAACAGGGTCTTGTGTAGCCCAGGTTGGCTTTAACTCCCTATGTATCTGAGGATGACCTTGAGTTTAAGATCTTCCTGCCTCTATCTCCACCTCCTGAATACTTGGGTCACAGGGATGCACCACCATGCCGGCTTCATGCAGTGCTAAAGACTGAACCCAGGCCTTTGAACATGCCAGGAGGCACCCTGACAACTGAGTTACCTCCCCACCCTCTTTAGCTGGTCTTTCTAGTTGTTCTACAGTTGGCAAATCTCCTTAATGGTAGTTCAGCTAAAAACATTCCTTGACCTCATCATTCTTGAAGGATAGTTTTGCTGGTTATAGAATTCTGGGTTGTAGCTTTTAATCTTTCAGCACTGAATTTCTTAATGGTTTCCAGGGCTTTTGATAAGAAAGCCCTGGAAAGCTTTTGTGTGCTGGGTGTGGTGGCTCATGCCATTAATTCCAGCACTCAGGAGGCAGAGGCAGGCAGATCTCTACGAGGCTGGAGAGATGGCTTAGTACTCAAGAGCACTAGCAGCTCTTTCAAAGTACCAGGGTTCAGTTCCCAGGACCCATGTGGTGGCTCATCTCTGTTCCTAGCTCCAGTTCTGGGGAATCTGATGCCTTCTTCTGGCCTATTTGGGCACCAGGCACCGATGCAGGTAAAACACTCATACAGGCTGAAACAACAACAGCAAAACCAAGAGGCTTGTAGGGAAGAGAAATGAGCAGGTGACATTTCTGTCTCACTACCTTTTTTAATCAAGCTTTTTTTTCTTTTTCCGTTTTGCAAGTTTGACTATGTCATCTTTTAGCATATTCCTCTCTGGGTGTATGTTTTTTTGTTGTTCACTCAGATCCTTGTATCTGTAGGTTTGTTTGTCTGTTTCTTTGTTTGTTTTTAAAGCAAACATGGGGACGTGTGAGAGCCCGTGTAAAAAAGTTGTGAACTTACTCTGAACTATGAATGGAACAGAGTGCAGAATGTTCTTCCCACAGGTGGCCTTCTAGAAAGATTTTTAAAAAAATATTTATTTATTTATTTATTCATTATGTATACAGTATTCTGAATGCATGTACACCTGCAGGCCAGAAGAGGGCACCAGATCTCATTATAGATGGTTGTGAGTCACCATATGGTTGCTAGGAATTGAACTCCAGACCTTTGGAAGAGCAGCCAGTGTTCTTAACCTCTGAGCCATCTCTCCATCCCCTAGAAAGAATTGCATAAACCACAATAAGTGAATGCATTTGAAAACAAGGACATGAAGGCATTCCCCATGGCATGTCTACATTATCTCTGTGGGAAAGACAAAGGCCTGGGAGGAATATTCTTGGTCTTTCCCCCCACAGGACCAAAGACAATAAGTCATATAAGTACATCCTTGCTGTACTTACTACTTGAGCTACTTGTAAACATCACCTCATGTTTTACTTGCTCTAATAGTAAAAATGAGAAGTGCTTTGTTTGTGCCACCTTTGCACTCACATGATTTGAGTTCCCTGATTACTCCACACAGATCTTCGGCACTGCATTCAATCCATGGAGACACAGCCTGGATGGCCGGGAGTGGGTCAACAGGAAGTTTAGGACGTTATTTCTTTGAAGCCTTGCCTTACCCTTGTCTTCTGGGACTCTGATGACCCTTCAGTCTCACTGGCTCTGTGTCTATACATTTATATTTTGTTTTTGTTTTTGTTTTTTTCCCTCTCTTGTAGTTATTACTGTTTACAGAGCTGAGGGTTCCGGTTGCCATACTGTCTGTCTTTCTGGAGGCTGCAGTTTGTGTCCTGGGTGTTTTTGAATCACTTGTAGAAGCCTTTCTAACCTGGATGTTTTAAAATCCTCACCAGGGGACTCCCATACCTGTGGCATTCTGGCGTGGGTGGCTGTCCTAGCCGACTTGCTTGGTGGCTTGGCGTGACGAATGAGTTTTAACTGAAGCCTATCTGAGGGAGGGAGAAGCAGAACCTTATCATTGCCACATGGGAAAAGTTCAAAGTCCAAGCCCCAGGTCCCCTTTGGTCTAACTGTATATCCTTGCTGATGCTGCCTGTCTGGGTGGACAAGGACACTATATACCCACTGTATCTATGGCCCACTTGACACCCAGGCGGGTGCCTCGCCACTGTTGGGTGGGATGAATGTCCCGGCTCTCCTCTGGTCCCCTGATGCCCACGAGAACCTTGGTATCTTCACAGGAAGGTCGTGTGTGCATGCGGTTACACCCACGAACAGCACTTGGAGGTGGCCATCAAGCCGCACAGCTTCCAGGGCAAGGAGTGGGACCCAAAGAAGCACGTCCACGAGATGCCGACAGATGCCTTTGGCGACATCGTTTTCACGGGCCTGAGCCAGAAAGTGGGGAAGGTGGGTTCCACCCGTCTCGTTCTTCAATGTGCTGGCCCCTGTGACACCGCAGCAGATTTCTCGGGTGGGGTAGGGAGAAAGGGAAGCCCACTATATACCAAAGCATGGCAAGGCATCCTGGGTATTCCTCAGGCAAACAAGAGGCTTGTGAGCAGAGGGGAGAGTAGTGAGCTTCCTACGGGAGGTATGAGCTAATTCTGAAGGGTCTGATGTCTGTCTGGGTCCAAGGGAGCGGGGCTGAGGGGAGGAACCCAGGACCCGGCATAGATGCGGTGCACTTCTGAATGGCAGTGAGGTCCCTGGAAGAAAGGGGAGAGGAAAAATCCTGGTGTGGGAAGCAGAGGCAGGAGTCACTGTAGCTGGCCAAGCAAAGCAACACTGTGCAGGAGACGATACAGACAGATGCAGGAGGAGGCCCTGTCACCTGGCCTCAGGTGAGGCATGGGGAGGCATGGAGGAGGCCTCATCTCTTACTCAGAGTTATGACAGGAAGAGCAATGGCAGGCTTGAAACCAACTGAACCCCAGTTTAGGTCCCTAACCTGACAACCTCTTGGCTCCAGTTGCTTCCTCAAGGGCAGTGACAGGAACAGTCCCAAGCCAGGGACAGTTAGCAGGGGAGGGTGGTAGTACTCCTGTCCTACCAGTGACTGCAACATCTGTTGAGAACCGTAAAGTATGTTCTGACCTTAGTGAAGCCCTTCCTGAGTACATGTGAGCCGTCCACCATCTTATTTTCTTTTCCTGTGATAAAAGGCAGTTCCTAGAGGAAGGTTTTATTCCCGCTTATGGTTTGAGACGACACATTCCAGCATGATAGAGAAGGTATGATGGAGTTCAAGGAGTTCAAAGCTGTGTGGGATGTAAGGCTGCTGGTTGCATCTTGGTGGGTTAAGAGATACAGAGATGCATAGGAGAGACGAAGAGGGAAGTCTGGCAACCTCCCCTCCCCCAGCTAACACCAGCTCCCCAGCAACCAGAAATCCACTTGCTCCAGCTAGATGCCATCTCCTAATGGTTTCACAGTGTCTCAGAACAGTATCTTCAACCAGAGACCAGATGTTCAACTGCCTGAGCCTGTGGGGGCACATTTAATGTTTAAACGTGGTGCCTTCAGTGTGGAGCCAGGTCCCCTTTTCTTCTGGGCATCACAGGCTTTACAATCTAGGAACAAGACCGTGAGAGGCTGGTCCTGGACCCCTGCTCAACTCTGTGAGAACAGCTGCTCTGAGGGCTGACAGGCAGCAGCCACTGTGGTAGCCATTAACATTCTTGGTGGTTCGGCTGTGTCCTGTTTGCTCTGGGGACTCCTAATGTCCCTTTGGAGTTTGTGTTGTCCATCATCCTGCACCTCATGGGTCCCTCAGATGTATCCTAGTCAAGCTGGATCTCCTCAGACAATTGATTTAGCCAGAATGGGAAAGTCCACCATGGGATGTGGGCTGTGGTGCTTGCCTGGTATATGTGGGTCTCTGGGTTCTGTGCATGCATACACGCATGCACGCATAAACACACACACACACACACACACACACACACACACACACACACACACGGTCCATCGTGGGCTCAGAGTGTTCCAGAGTGTGAAGCCAGAGAATTGACACCTTTTATCACTCACCCCCACCTTACTCAGGGGCAGACAATGTGTACCCCAGTGACAGATGCCAGCAGAGGGCAGCCGGTACTGAGTGTGTGAGGAGAATAGGAAGCAGAAGGGGTAGAGGCCAAACCACATGGGAGGAGCCCAGGGTAGGGGCTGATATAAGGAGGTCTGAGGTATTCCCTAAGCAGAAAGGATGGGTAAAGAGAGAGTATGGATGAGTTGGGGAACTGGGCCTTGGAACTTCATAAAGAATAGCCTGGATTTACCTAGGGAGGCCCCGTAGTACCTGGGCCTTTCTTCTAGGCCTCACTGCCTTCTCTTTCTTCTTACAACTCATGTCTTGACATGCTGGTGACTTTTCTTCCTGGGTGTGAGCTCAAGCTGTCCAGCCCCAGGCTGAGCAGGCAGGGCACAGGTGGGCCACACTCCGTGTTGAGTGTGAAGACTGCCATTCTTTCAGGGCACCTTCCCTGTCCCTGCAGGGTATCTACACTGGCCCCTGAAGGGTTCTGTCGCCTGCTTGCTTCCTTCGCCCTGCAAGATGCCCTCACTGTCCCCAGTCAGGTGTCCTTGTGCCTCGTAAGGTTCCCTTGCTGTGTCTCCTGCAAAGTCCCCTCACCAGCTCATGGTTTCCCCCGCAGTATGTCCGGGTCTCCCAGGACACACCCTCCGTTGTCATCTACCAACTCATGACCCAGCACTGGGGCCTGGATGTCCCCAACCTCCTCATCTCCGTTACTGGTGGGGCCAAGAACTTCAACATGAAGCTGAGGCTGAAGAGCATCTTCCGGAGAGGCCTGGTCAAGGTGGCCCAAACCACAGGTGAGTGCTCAGGTCTGCCCAGGCCATGGGTGCAACCTAGAATGAAGGAGATCCCTGGAGATTAGGGTTATGGGGACTGGAAAACTCTTGGGGACAGCTGAGTTCACACCCCAGCTTGGGTCAGATGCCTTGGGTCCCTCATCTACAGACAACATCTCTTTCATACTATTTATTTCTCTGTTGTCCCATGGCGACTGCCATGTGTTAAAATTTTTTTTAAAGATTTATTTATTTTGATCTAGTGCCTATGTGCCTTCATGTGCATGTGTGTGAATGCTATATGTATTTAGATGCCTGTGGACGGCAGAGGAGGACATTGGATCTCCTGGAGCTGAAGTTATAGGCGCTTGTGACCCTCTCAACATGGGTGCTAGAACAGAACTTGGGGTCTCTGGAAGAGCAGCCAGTACTCTTTTACTACTGAGCTATTTTATCTCCAGACCCTAGATTTGATTTGATTTTTTTTATTTGACTTGATTTTAATGTCCACATCACACCAGCTCATGGCTTCAAGGCACTGATTTCAGAGGTCTGGCCGGTGCTTGGCAGTAAGCTAACCACCCAAACAACAGCATATGGGTCTTGGTTCATGTAGCATGTATGTACTTGGCTCATGAAGCTCTGTTAGGTGTATGGTCATCTGTAAGAAGTAGGGCCGAGGGCTTAGGGGCATGGACATCACCCACCACTCTTGGCTCTCAAACTCTGAGAGGAAGGAGAAATGCTGCAGGCCCTGAAATAGGAGACTCAGACCCTATGTGTTCCTCAGCCTTGGACAGAGAAGGCTGAGGGGCAGGGGACCTGCAAAGAGAAGATGCGGGTCTTTGTTCCTGCTCTTTCCTATTGCCATCTTTGCAATGTGGGGAGCTCAGGTCCCAGAAAGGCACTAGGAGGATTCTGTCACAATACAGTGTGTCCTCCTTAATCCTGCTGTAGAGACATCTGCCAATGTGCTTGAGAGTTTAAGGATGAGGTCCCGTGTTAGGAGCACAGTGGGACTCTGGGTGTCCATATTGGCTTGACAGGGTGCACATTGGAACCTAGAGGCATGGCCCGTCTCTTTCCCCAGGGGCCTGGATCATCACTGGGGGGTCCCACACAGGGGTGATGAAGCAGGTGGGTGAGGCGGTACGGGACTTCAGCCTGAGCAGCAGTTGCAAAGAAGGAGAAGTCATCACCATTGGTGTAGCCACATGGGGTACCATCCACAACCGTGAGGGGCTGATCCATCCCACGGTGAGTAGCCGCTCCAGAGTGAGCCTGGGCCAGAGGAGGGAGGCAGGGAGAAGAGGGAGAGGAGTACAGGGAGCAGGCTGGGTTGGGGCAGGGGGTTGGGGGAGGGGTGAAATGTGCTGCAGGGCATGGATCTGATTTGGGTGCTGCGACACCTTGGACACAGTGATCAAGGTGGGCAGCTAACACGGAATGACTCTGTACAGGAGGGATCCACATGCCAGTTATTACTACATGAGGCTACATCCCAAGAGTGGCTTTTCTGAGAAATGGGATTCAAGGAAGGGAGTGATCGATCAGGAACACATAGCTAGCAAGCACTGGGGTTGGATTGAGCCAGGGTATCTGATCACAAAGCCCTAGCTTTTAGATTTGGGCTTTCTCAGAGGCCTCCAGCCAGGAATGCCATGGAACAGCGGTTTCTGGCAGTCAGCAGCAAGTTGAGCTGCCCTTTAATGCCACACCCTGAGCAGCTGCTTAAGAACAGAAACTTGAGTCGGATAGCTTGGTTCACTAAGCAGGGTTTTCTAAGGACACGTTGGATTTGTCCTAATGAGGACATGGACATTTCATTCTCAGTCTGGGCGGGGAAGTCTGAAGAGAACATCATCTGTAACTGGAGAAAGTGTGGCTCAGTGGTTCATTGTCAGACATAGTTGCTCAAAGGACAGTCTTGGGGTTTTTTTGTTTTGTTTTGTTTTATTTATTTATTTTTTTGAGATTTAAAAATTTTATTTATTTAAAGATTTATTTAGTATGTGTACGATGTTCTGTCTGCATGTACATCTGCATGCCAGAAGAGGGCACCAGATCTCAGTATAGATGGTTGTGAGCCACCAGATGGTTGTTGGGAATCAAACTCAGGACCTCTGGAAGAGCAGCCAGCGCTCTTAACTTCTGAGCCCATGCTCTTTCTTTTGTGTCGGAATCATGAAATGTCTCCCTGGGCAGGACTGATCAACTGTTCTGTTTTGCACACACATTTTATGTTATAAGACTGAGGCTAAGAAAGGCCGGGTGGGGGTTGCTTTGAGTTGAGAGCCTTTCCAGTGGTTAGGCTGTTCCACTTTCTGTGAACAGTAGAGAAGGTGTCTGGTCCAGTAGCATCTCCCAGCTTGGTTAGTAGCCTCTTTGGGGTGCAATAAAACATGACCGCAAACCTGATAGCATCAAGCAACTAATGAATCTGTCTACAGTTAGAAGTTACTCTCCCACACAGCACGGACACCATGTCACTCGGCCCCAACAAAAAATGAAGTTAGACTATTCCGGGACACTGATGAGGACCCTTCCTGCCTCTTTAACTTCTGGTGTTTCTGGGAGTTCCTGGGGCGCCATCCATATAATCCAGATAATCCATAATCTCCTTATGTTTAGATCCTTAACATCACAGCTGCAAAGGCTCTTTCTCCAAATAAGAGAATCTCAGCAGATCCTTGGGTTTAGGAATTGGTATTTTTCGGGGGTCATTATTCAAGCTGTTAGCCACCCCACCCCTCCCATTTCCAGAATACAGGTATGGCTTTTTTTTTTTAAACCAATGTGTGTGAGACTTCCCTCCTGCCCCCGTCACCCACAGGGAGGCTTCCCCGCGGAGTACATGCTGGATGAGGAAGGCCAAGGGAATCTGACCTGCCTAGACAGCAACCACTCCCACTTCATCCTGGTGGATGATGGGACCCATGGGCAGTACGGTGTGGAGATTCCGCTGAGGACCAAACTGGAGAAGTTCATATCAGAGCAAACAAAGGAAAGGGGAGGTGAGTGTGTGTGCTTCTGAGGGCAGCTGGGATGCAGAGAACCAAGGCTGGCCCTCTGTCAGAGCCACAGCTGGCTGTCAGATCACAGCACACCTGTATTCGTTTCCCGGGTCCCTGTATGCTTCTTCATGGGGACCCATCTCCTCTGGCTGCGTGGATCAGTGGAAGGGTGCCAGTGTAGGCTTGTCTGTTTGCTACCAGTTAACAGAACAGTCTACATTTTCGACTAGAGACGGTTTCAGGCTGGGAAATGAGGATAGATGACCTCCAGAACTCACACCTTGACTTCAGTTGCTTGTGGGAAGAGGGGTGGGAACACTAGTGTGTGAGGTGAGGAGAGGGCACAGACAGCATGGGGAGGGTTCCAGCTCAGCACGTGGGTTGTCTGGGATGACTCTGGATGGCAGATTTCAAATTTCTTTGTGCTTTCTGCATCAGGAACCCCAAGGGGGCTGGGCACCCCGTCCTCTAATCACCTCCCCCAGGTTCTAGATGGCACAGAACTGGCATTCTGCTGAGTTGCCAGGATATTTGTTGCCTGTTGAGGGACCATACTGGGAGTGCATGCTTTCAGTAAGAACAGCCAGGGTGAGGTGTGTGAAGGCAGGACCCCTCCTCACTGGGTGGGGGAAGGAACTCCTCACATCACTCTCTATTCCTCCTGCCTTCTGGGTGGGGTTGAACAGAATAGGCTCATGATCTGTGCCCCATCCCAGCCCAAGCAGGGTGCATCAGGCCCCTCTTAGAGGTTCCTTAGGCCGGCTTGGATTTTGAGGTACCAGAAAAAGAGCAGCAGAGAAAGGCAGGCTGGCTGGAGTGGTCCACTGGGTAGAGGAGATGGCGCTCTGCTCTTTCCACTCTGTACAGGAGATCAGTCAGGGTGTGATAGGATGCAGGTGGAAGGATGGCATGTGTAATAGATACGGGATGCGGGAGGTGAAGGATGCGGGAGGTGCAGGATACGGGAGGTGGAGGAGGAGGGATGTGGTAGGTAGCTCAGGGGTAGGTGCAAGGGTGGGAAGCATGGTCGGATGCAGGGGCAGGGAGAATGGTCAGGGGTAGAGGTGGGTCAAACAGCCAGTCAAAAAAACATTATGGTTTTTCGAGACAGGGATTCTCTGTGTAGCCCCGAATGTCCTGCAACTCACTCTATAGACCTGGCTGGCCTCCAACTCACAGAGATCCGCCTGCCTCTGCCTCTCGAGTGCCAAGATTAAAGGCGTGTGCCACCACCACCTGCCTGGGTTTGTTCCTGTACGGTGAAGGAGCTACTTGTTGGTAGGCCATCACTGTTCACCTTTAGCAGCTGCCCATTATCTACCACTCAGCCCAGCTGGTGCTCCCGCTCGTGACTAGGGTGGAGCCTGCCGAGGAAGCAGCCTTGAATACGAGGTCTGTGCTTCCCCCAACTTGCCTTCACCTGGGATCCATGTCTGCCTAGGTGTGGCCATCAGGATCCCCATTGTCTGTGTGGTGTTGGAGGGTGGCCCTGGCACCCTGCATGTGAGTACGAGCTGCCAGGCAGCGTGGGGCTCGGGGTAGGGAGCCGTGGAGGGAGGACAGGAGGTGCTTTTGCTCCAATCTGGTGCTGTCCTCTGGATCCGGAGGAAAGGAAATCCACAACAGGACAAGGCTGTTTCCCGGTGCGGGAGAGGAGGCATGTGATTGTGTAGACACGTGTGTGGGAGAGGTGGCTCGGCTTTAGCCCAGGCCATGGTGGGGATGCTGGCTTTCTCTTCCCAGAACCTCTCCTGAAGGTCTCCACCCAGTGTCCCAGGCACTGGAGCTGAAATCTGGGGTTTTCCTCATGGTCCTGGTATCCCCTTGGCCTTGGTTATTCTGGGTTCACACGGCACCCCAGACCCACACCCCTGTGTGTGGGTCTGGTCAATGGCTATGCCATGAACCCTTTTTATCACAGTGGTATTGGGTGTTCAGTGATAAGCCCGAGTCAGGTGTGCCAGCGGTACATTCCTTGTGTGTGAGCAACAGCTCTCCTGCCTCTTGAACAGTGGACTGCACCATACCCGTGAGGGCTTCCAGCTTCAGAGCTGCTCACTCTAGCAGCCAGTGAGCTGCAGCCTCAGCTGCCGTTGAATGATGGCAAAAGGCCATCTCACACTTGGTTGAGGGCTCTGGCCCAGCTCACGCTTGGTTCTGGTTCGGCAGACCATCTACAATGCCATCACCAACGGCACACCCTGTGTGATAGTGGAGGGCTCCGGCCGAGTGGCTGACGTCATCGCACAGGTGGCCGCTCTGCCCGTCTCCGAGATCACCATCTCCTTGATCCAACAGAAGCTGAGCATCTTCTTCCAGGAGATGTTTGAGACTTTCACTGAAAACCAAATCGTGGAATGGACCAAAAAGGTGAGGCGCACAGGCATATGGTCACCAGGCTGACCCCCAGACACAGCAGGGCTCCAGAGACCTGAAATGGGTCAGAGTGGGTATATGATTGAATTTGCAGATGGTGGGAGCTCTGAACTCCAGAAGAGGAAGGGGTCTCTTGGTTGGGCACTGGGAGGTTGAAACATATGGCAGACAGCATGTCAAAGGAGAACTGAGATTTGAACTCGGTTCTATAGGATGTAGGATGACAGGGCCAGGCTGGGACACCTCAGAGCTTGGGAGTGTTTTTTCTGGGACCCAGAACCTGTTGCAGTGGAGGGCCAGAAAGCACTGCAGAGCACAGGAAGGGCCTTGGCTGAGAGGCTGGCCACAGAGGACCTTACTGGCCACAGCAGTGAGTAGTCTAGCCTTGTCTCCTCATAAGAGCACTAAGGAGCAGCCTCAGAAGTGCCCAGCTCCCCATTCCGGAAGCTGGGTTTTGGGGTGATGCCCTAACGAGCCCTGAAGAGGCACCAAACTAATGCCGAGTGTGTAGCAAGTGTCTATACCTTTGGTATGTCCTCTGCAAAGCAGGCTGGGTCAGGGCTCACACCCAGGATTTTACACACTCTGTGAGTAGCCAAGCTCCAGGGGAGCTGAGTTTAGGTCCCACTAGCCATAAGCTACAGGGACACCTGGACCTAGCCACACTAGACTGTGACTCGTGGAGGGGCTTGGGTTGTGGCTACACAGAGGGGAATTAAGAACTCTCTGACTCCGTGACTCAGGGAAGCATGGAGACCTCATTTTAAATTTGCTAAGGATTCAGAGTGGCCTTGGCCTTTGGTGTGGAGTGCTCTGTGGAGATTATCCAGCAGAGAAACAACGAATTTTGTGAGATCCCCACCCCCTCCCCTCAACCCCTCTCTTCTCCTCCCTACCTCCCCAGTCTTGGAGGCCTTTGCTTCCTTGTTGGGTGTGCTGTGAGCTTTTGGGCAGCTTGGGAGCCTTTTCTCAGCAACATTATAAATTATTCAGACAATTCAGAGAACTGAATTGAATCTCTCTTTGTCTAAAAGTATTTTTGTTACATTTATGTGTGTGCGTGTGTGTGTGTGTGTGTGTGTGTGTGTGTGTGTGTGTGTGGTCATGTTCACATGTTGGTGCACACATCATGCATGTCAGAGGGTAACTTTGTGCAAGTCAGTCCTTTCTTTTACCACAAGTCAGTCCTTTCTTTTACCATATGGGTCCTAGGAGATTGAAGAAGGGTCACCATGCTTGGTGGCAAGAACTCTTACTGGCTGAGCCTGCCCAGACTAGGGAGTGTGGCTTCTTTTGGGGGCCTCAATCTCTTTTGTCCTTCAAGGAGGCAGAGTACCCCCAACCCTGAGTCTTGCTGAAATCCATTTGCTGCAGATCCAAGACATTGTCCGGAGGCGACAGCTGCTGACGATCTTCCGGGAAGGCAAGGATGGTCAGCAAGATGTGGACGTGGCCATTCTGCAGGCTTTACTAAAAGGTGGGTCGAGGGGCAGAGGGGAAAAATGGAGGGGAGAGGCCAGAATGTAGGTGCTCGGGATGAATGACAGCATCTCTGTGAGATGGACCGGCCAGAGAGCAGCTGCTCTGGCTCACGCCTCTGTACATCCTTCCCACCCAAGAAGCCCAGCAAATTCCCGGTGAGATGAACTCAAAGGTACCCATACCTCTCCCATTACAGTCAAGCTTTTCTAAGACAGTGAACTTGAGACTAGCAATGAAAGGTGGCTTATCCCATGTAAGGGGGTCTCAATAAGCTAATATACAGATTTTTTAAAAAATTATTTAGCTTTATTTCATGTGCATTGGTGTTTTGCCTGCATGTAGGTCTGTGTGAGAGTGTCAGATCTTGGAGTTACAGTTGTGAGCTACCTTGTGGGTCCTGGAATTTGAACCTGGGTCCTCTGGAAGAACAGTCAGAGCCCTTAACCACTGAGCCATCTTTCCATCCCCCAATATACAGATTTCTAATTAGATGCTTTAGAAGGTGGAAGGCAGAGGGCTGCAAAGTAGGGGAGAAATTAAAATATTCTCAGACAAACAAAAGCATAGGGAACTTGTAACCACAAGGCCTGAGTTACAAGAAATGCCCAAGAGAGCCAGCGGTGTGAATTGAAAGGACATTAGACAGTGACTCAATATCATATGAAGAAAAAAAAATCCCAAACAGGCAAATGCACGGGCAGTTATGAAAGCATATGTCACTGTAACAGTGGTTCATAACTGTTACAGTGACATTAAATTACATTAGAGGTTAAAACAATAACAATTACTAATCTAAAAGCTTGTATTCTAAGACAGGTCTCCTGGCTCATGCTTATAATTCTAGAACTTCAGAGCCTGAAGCAAGAGATTCACTGCCAAGTTTAAGGCCAGGCTGGGCTCTATATTATATTCAAGATTAACTTGTGGAGCCTGCAAGACAGCTTACAAGGCATCTACACTGCAGCAAACTCCACTCATAAGAAGAACTTAAAAGTAGACAAGTGTAGAGGAGGAGGTAGACAGGTGCTGAGAAGGGGCACAGAAGGCCCCAGAAAAAGGGTTTTGTATGACATTATTTCTGGCGAGACACAAACCATCTGCTCACCTCAGACAGGGAACGGATGACAGACCAAAGTAGCACTAACCACCAAACTCCAACTTGGTAAGCCAGTGAGTTTATTGAGGTTACTTAGAGGAGTGTGGGTGAGAAGTTACAGACGCATGGGTGATTCAAAGGCAGAAGCATCGTCACTGGAAGTCCACCCCAGCATGGGTGAAAACTCAGAAAAATTGCATCCCTGAAGCTCTCTGTACCACTTTCAGGAAGCTGCATGTGTGGGAGAGTCTCCTTGTCTTAGCATTCCTCATTGCTTATATAACCCTGGGAAGTAATGGACCTTGCGAGTTTGGTGGATTTCAGGGACTTCCTGAGTATTAATGAGCTTGCCCACAGGAAGGAAGGTTTCAGCTGGAGAAACGGGGGCTGGAGATACATAGTCTCAGTGTGGTTTCAGCATGTTTTTCCTGGTGAATTTTCTGTGGCATCGGGCATGTTTCATAGCTTCTGTTGTCGTTTTCTCTCCTTGGTGAAGCATCTTTTGTGTCTTTTGAGCGTTCTTTTTGGCTGTTTGTCTTCCTGTTTCTGAGCTATAGTTGTTTACTGTTCATTCTGATAGGAGTCCTCCATCAGGCATGGGAAATGGGAAGTCTTTCCTTGGTTTGTGGGTTGCGGCCCTGTTTTCTTCAGGTGGCTTTGAAGAGCACAGGGATTACCTTTCATGGTTTTTCAACTTTTCCCTTTGCAGTTTGTATTCTCTGTGTTTTGGCTTAGAACTCTGCCTGTCCTAAGGCTACAAATATTCACTGATACCACTTTTACACACATAGCCCATTTAAACACCCTATTGTGGTGTAAGAGAGAAAACCAAAATTGGTTTTGTCCTTCTTCAAATAGAAACCATGTGCAGGCTTGGGGACCTGAGTTCTGATCTCCAACACACACACACACACACACACACACACATACACACACACACACACACACACACACACACACACACACACAGTTAAGCAGAGAACACACTAAGAAATGTTTGGCTGATATGCATTCCTGAGAATTTGGGTGGTATGGCTGCTACAGAATGGAGACAAATTCGGCACCTCTGTGTGTGTGTGTGTGTGTGTGTGTGTCTGTGTGTGTGTGTGTGTCTGTGTGTCTGTGTGTGCGTGTTGGCTTTTGGAAAGCTGCTTTTCATATTAGTGTAAATGTATGTTTTTTAGAACTCTTTTTTTGTGTGATTTTTTTCCCCTTATGCTATAGTCTACTTGTCACATAGGGACTTGGCACGTAGGGAGGTGGCACAGAGTGTGGAGCTAGGGTGAAGCGATAAACAGAACCCTGAGATTCCCTGAGCCTAACTGTATAAACTGGGTGTCCCAGAGGGGGTGTCACCACCGAGCTCAGGGTTTTCTCTTTAAATCATTAAGGGAACTAGAATTCCTGACCAATTCCTGATCCTGGCACCAAGCCTCACCTAGAGGCACCTGACACACACTGTCCCCCACAGCCTCTCGAAGCCTCGACCACTTCGGCCACGAGAACTGGGACCATCAGCTGAAGCTGGCGGTGGCGTGGAACCGTGTGGATATCGCTCGCAGTGAGATCTTCACCGATGAGTGGCAGTGGAAGGTGAGGTGTCTTACGCAATGGGGGTGTCTGTCTCTGTGGGGTTCCAGCTCTGCCTTGGGACTAGGTGACCAGGGTAGGTTCCATCTTCCAGGAACGATTTCACAGCAGCCTCTTCTAGGGTTCTGAGTCAAGTTCCAGGAGGTGCTGACTTATCGTGACAGTCACTGAACAGTGCTCCCTTTCAGCCTTCAGATCTGCACCCCATGATGACAGCTGCCCTCATCTCTAACAAGCCCGAGTTCGTGAGGCTCTTTCTGGAGAATGGGGTGCGGCTGAAGGAGTTTGTCACTTGGGACACTCTAGTCTGCCTGTACGAGAATCTGGAGCCGTCCTGCCTCTTCCACAGCAAGCTGCAGAAGGTGCTGGCCGAAGAGCATGAACGCCTAGCCTGTGGACCCACTGCCCCCCGGCTGCACATGCACCACGTGGCCCAGGTGCTCCGTGAACTCCTGGGGGACTCCACGCAGCTGCTGTACCCCCGGCCCCGGTACAGTGACCGGCCACGGCTCTCACTGCCCATGCCACACATCAAACTCAATGTGAGTGCCGGTCATGTGGGCACAAGCGATGTGGGTGCTGGTGTCAGGGGTACAATGACACACTGGCGATGTGTGATGCCTGGGTCTTGGTGGATGGCCCCTGTGTCCTCACCTTGGCTATGAGCTCTCTGGTCATTAGAACTTAGGAACTGTGGTCTACAGAGCAAGTTCCAGGACAGCCAGGGCTGTTACATAGAGAAACCTTGTCTCAAAAAAAACAAACCAAACAAACAAATAAAAATTAGGAATTGCTAAGTGTGTGTGTGTGTGTGTGTGTGTGTGTGTGTACATGCGTGTGTGTCCTATAATTTCAGCTCTCATGAGGCTGAGGTAGGAAGGTGAAGAGTTCAAGGCCAGCCTGGGCTACATGGTGAAGTCGTCACTGAGGTAGCCTCAAAGAAAGAAAGGGAGAGAGGAAGGATAAGAACAGAGAGAAAGAGGAAACCAAAACCAATTGACCAAACAAACAACCCCAACCAAAGCAATGAGCTCCACACTGTGTCCTGGAAGGCATGGGTTGTGGGAAACCCTGTGGATCCATGTTTGGTGAGAAGGGCATCAGGAGGACCCCTTTGCTTCTGTCTGTGACATGACTCTGGTGAATTGGTGTGTGTGTGTGTGTGTGTGTGTGTGTATGTGTGTGTGTGTGTGTGTGAGATATGCATATGCAAATGAGGGTGTCTGTGTGTGGAGGCCAAAGGTTGGTGTCAGGCGTCTTCCTCTGTTGTCACCACCAACTTTTTGAAGACAGGGTCTCTTACTGAACCTCAGGTCTGCTCTTTCAGCTAGCCTGGCTGGCTAATGAGCTCTAGAAGTCCTCCTGTCTCTACTACCCAATCACTACTGTGCTTGTTCTTTCTTTGTTTTTTTTTCTTTCTCTTTCTCTCTCTTTTTTAAATGTGAGTGGTAGGGATTTGAACTAAGGTCCTCAGGATTGTGTGACTAGCTCTTTACCCACTAAGCCATCTCCTCATTCCCCAATGAATCATTTAATTATGTACCCAAGAGTGATATACATCACCTCTCTGTGACTACACAAGGCAGGACACACACTGCCCACCACATTGGGGTTCTGATGCTGGGTCTCTGTGAGACAGGAACTATCCTCTGCCTACCAGGTACAAGGAGTGAGCCTCCGGTCCCTCTATAAGAGATCAACAGACCATGTTACCTTCACCATTGACCCGGTCCGCGACCTTCTCATTTGGGCCGTCATCCAGAACCACAGGGAGCTGGCAGGCATCATCTGGGCTCAGGTACCGGGCTCGGCTTAGTTGCAATGTCCAGACTGGTGATCTGAGTCAGGGACTCACTTCCCATAGCAAATCATAGCTCATGGTCCTATGGGACAGTAAGATGTTCAACCCAGGGATGCTTGGTGCACCCAGAAGTAGGAAACAAACAAAAACAAACAAACAAACAAACAAACAACTTTGGTGGTAAAATAATTCTTAAAAGAAGAAAGAAAGAAAAGGAAGGAAAGATAAGGACCCTATAAGCAATTGGTTGTGATTACTTCCAGGGCTCCCAGTGTAGGCAGTGTTGTTCTCTGTGATCTCCCTAGGTTCCTGTCTGTTTATTATACCCGCTTGGGAGACTAACACTTGGTACCCATGGGTCTGTATAAGAGGCTGCCATCAGAAGGGGTTATGTGTTAATATGGGGTGACTCAAGTTGTTTATATGGACAGGACCCACATAAACTTCAGATCCTAAGCATCTCTGTTTGCTATCATAGGTTTCTAGGGGCAGGGTAGGTAAACCTAGCCGGTCCCCCAGGTCCTCACAGTAACCCTGTGTCCCAGAGCCAGGACTGTACTGCTGCAGCACTGGCCTGTAGCAAGATCCTGAAGGAGCTGTCCAAGGAGGAGGAAGATACAGACAGCTCAGAGGAGATGCTGGCACTGGCGGACGAGTTTGAGCACAGGGCTATAGGTGAGCTTCCTCGGGCCACCTGCACTGTTACCAGGGTCTCCATCTCTGTGTGTCAGCTCCGATGCTGTCCTTGTCCATGATCTAGATGTTTTGGGGCAGTACCCGCGTGTTAGTCTTACCCCGTGTCCTGGGTACCACCCCAAGGGTCAGGTCTGATTGTCCCAATGTACTTCTTCCTCTACTCCTCAGGTGTCTTCACTGAGTGCTACCGGAAGGATGAGGAAAGAGCCCAGAAGCTGCTTGTCCGTGTGTCTGAGGCCTGGGGGAAGACCACCTGCCTGCAGCTGGCCCTTGAGGCCAAGGACATGAAATTTGTGTCTCATGGAGGCATCCAGGTGATCCCCTGAGGGCCCACTTCCAGAATCAGGTCCCCGGGGCTGCTCATGTGGGCACAGCCCTGGCTCTAGTGACATGGTTGTTCCCAGCATTGTGGCTCTTTAATGAGCGGGACAGTGCCTGGTTCTTGGCCATATGCTCATGGACAGGCACTTGTCTGCTGGTTTGGGGATGAGGAAATTGGTGCAGAGTAGAGTAAATGGCTGGTGGGCCCGGGGGAAGCTGTCCAAGCATCAGGTGGCTCCCGGTGCACTTTCCGAAAGCCTGTTTCACCTCATGGGGGAGTACAGGAAGGACAGGCGGACAGTGTAGCCTTCATGGAATGTTAGGGGCCAGGGCGTACACTCCTTTTACTTGGGTATCCTCGGAGCACAGCCTCATGCTGTCACCGTGCCTATGGAGCTCCTGTGCCCTAGGCTGTCAGAGTCTGGGCATACCCAGGAAGGAATCAAGCCCTGCCCCAGGCACCAAGAAGGGTCACTTATGACAGCCTGGGACTGTATGGCCTCTGTATCCCCAGAGATGGGGGAGTTCTGCAGCTGGAAGAGGCATGGCAGAAAAAGAGTCAGCCCCAACCCCACCCCAGTGTAATAAGTCCTATTTCTCCACCATGCACGGTAGCCTGGCTCCAACCACCTAAAGCTCCATTCCTCTGCTGGCTGGCAACGGGGTGCCTGCCAGGCTGGCCACCTATGGTCAGGGGTTCAGAGCTCTGTGGTCACAAGGACGTGACCAGCAGGGTCAGGATCAGGCCACTGGGTGCCAACTGTCCTGGGACCACCCTGTCCACAGGCTTTCCTGACCAAGGTGTGGTGGGGCCAGCTCTGTGTGGACAATGGCTTGTGGAGGATCATCCTGTGCATGCTGGTCTTCCCACTGCTCTTCACCGGCTTCATCTCTTTCAGGTGAGGGGGAGGGGTCTGGGCTCCTAGAATGTGCAGACAGTAGAAGGGGACACCATCAAACTTTTTCAGTGCCCTGCATTTACTGCCGGATACTGGAGGGTGGATATTGATGAGCCTGTTTCCTGGCCTCAGCTCCGTACCAACAGGGAGCATGGAGTGGATGGGGTACCCTCAGGGCTGTAGCCAGACTGGGTGGAAGACTGGAGAGCAGGCCTGGCTGTGCTTCACTGAGGCGGTCGCCTCAGAGCACATGGGCTCTTGTTAAGATGTCATCTTGCAAAGATGTCATCTCTGTTTTGATAGACAGCATTTCTGGTTTCCCTGGGAGTTCAGGGGCAGATACCAAGCCCCAGCCCAGGTGGCCAGTCACAAGTCCATTCATAGCCGTAGGCCACATGCTCCACAGCTTTCTCACAGCCTGACTGTTGGGAACATGTCCTAGGGGAAGCCGGGGCACTGAGGGGCAGCGCAGGTACTAAAGCAGTTTCAGTCTTCTCTGCCTCTGGACTCCCATCCCGCACAGAACCAGGTCGACCAGAAGTCAGTCTTACATCCTGTCAGGGGTCATGGGCATCACCCTGTGACCTTTGTAGTGTGTGCCCGCTTCCCCAGCCTACCCTGAGAGGAACAGAGCTACGTTTCCAGTAGCAGCTGTGGTAAAAGGCCACGCATCGGAGCATGGGACTTGGTCATCCCATTAGACTGAGCCTTAAGGTCCTCATTTGTGGGGGTTTCCTGAGGTCTGAGAACGCCTCTGATGCTATGAGCACTGCCCAGGGAACCTAACCCAGGTTAGGCTCACAGCCAAGCATGGCCCTGGGTAGGAGCTGTGATGTCCACAGGCTGTACGGAGACTCGATTCCTGGCCTTTTGGGTCTGTGCAAGATTTGAGGTCTTTAGAGCCAAGGCTGCTCTGCTGCCTGTCTGTAACTGCTACGTGACCTTGGGTATCAGATGAGGTGTTCCTTTCTGAGTACATCTGCCCCTTGAGTCACGAACACGTCTTTCAGGGTGAGTGGAGATCCTGGGGACCAAAGTCTGTGGGCTGTCGCATTCACGTGAGGTGTCTTCTCCTGCAGGGAAAAGAAGCTGCAGGCACTGTGTCGCCCAGCCCGCGTCCGTGCCTTCTTTAATGCCCCCGTGGTCATCTTTCATCTGAATATCCTGTCCTACTTCGCCTTTCTCTGTCTGTTTGCCTATGTGCTCATGGTGGACTTCCAGCCCTCGCCATCCTGGTGCGAGTACCTCATCTACCTGTGGCTCTTCTCCCTGGTGTGCGAGGAGATGCGGCAGGTGCTCACTGCTCCCTCACCAAGTGTCTGTCACCACCGAGCCTTGCCCAAGCCCCTGGGAGCTGGGCAGAACCTTAGGAGGCAGACAGCCACTCCTCCTGGCTCCGCCACGGAGCCTTGCCCCCATGGCCTGCCTGCCCTGTCTGAGGCTGGGCTTCTGGACCTTTCCAGTACAAAACACTCGCGACCCACCTCAGTGTCCGGTGCTCCCAGAGGCTGGGTCTGTGTGACCCACGGTCCCCCATTCACCTAATCACTTTCTATTGCAGCCTTTGAATGGGTTTGCCTCATCCACATTGCCAAGTGTGGGGCTCTGGTGCTAATTTGCAAAAGGCTTGGGCTGATGGAGAGCCGTGAATGTGGTTATGGTTCGTCCCAGAAAAAAAAGGGCTTAGAATAAAATGTGCCAAATATTAGCTGGGTGTGGTGATGCACACCTGTTATCCCAGCCCTTGGGGAGGCAGAGGCAGGTGGATCTCTGTGAGTTAGGCCCGCCTAGTCTACAAAGCTAGACCAGGACAGCCAATGCTACACAGAGAAACCCTATCTTGAAGACCCCAAAGGGACCTGATCGAGAGCAGCCAGAGGTCCCTTTGTTGAGGCCGAGACAGAATTTGATTCTCCCTACAAGGATGTGTAAGGACATCCAGGCCAGTGGCACCGCAGCTGCTTCGGCAAGCCTCAGGGTCCAGGGTTTGGACTGCAGGTCAGTCCTACAGACATGGCTCTGTCGTCATGGCTGATCTGTTTCCAGCCCCTCTAGAGATTGAACTAGTCCTGAGTGGCCTGTATGACCACCTGGACTAGCTCAGACCCCTGGCAAACAAGACAGTGCTGTAAAGCTGGGTGATCCAGGGACCTGAGGTCACCTCCCAGGACAAAGGCCTGTGTGACCAGTGAGCAGACCAACTCTTACTGTTCTAGGTCTTTCCTCATCCTTGTGGTACCAGCTTACACTGGGTGGACACCCTGCCTGTTGGGGGACCCAAGGGAGAAAGAGGAGATCTCAGGAAGAAACCATGAGGCAGGAGCTAGATGGGGCTGAGGCTCTGGAAGTTTGGGCTTCCTCAACCTCTGTAGCCAGACCCTCCATGGGGGTCAGGGCTTCTGTGTCCCCTGAACTCAACTCACATGGCAGCCCCAAGACAGAGGACACATGTGGCTCTTAGACTCAGGCCCAGGGAAAGGACATGCCTTTGTTGAGGGCTTGGTACCAGAGAAGGATGAAAATATCCTGCCAGGCAGAGCATGTGAGGCTCCTGGGGGCTCCTCTAGGCCCACTTTTCCCAGGCTATCTCAGGAAGCAGGCATCATTCTGGACAGCAAATGTCTTTGTGGACACACAAAGAGAGGGCACACCCACCCACTCATAACTCATTCACAAACAGGCACACACACACACACACACACACACACACACACACACACACACACTCACACTCACTCACAGGCTTAATAGCACCGCTGGTTCATGGGAGACTAGCAGTGAAGTCTGGCAGGAACTTACCTCTATCCGTGCTTGTTCCCGAACTTGTTGAGCGCAGAGGCCCACCCTCTGTCCCACCGGCCCCCACCACAGTCAAGCCCTGATGAGAAAGGGCTTCATTTGTGTGCTGCTGATGGAGAGGTTGGCCTCCCCTAACCGTGATCTCCTCAGTAGCTCTTCTACGATCCCGATGGCTGTGGGCTGATGAAGAAGGCGTCCCTGTACTTCAGTGACTTCTGGAACAAGCTGGATATTGGGGCCATCCTGCTCTTCATAGCAGGACTGACCTGCCGGTGAGTGGCCAGGTTGCCCCTGCCTTCTTCTTGTGTGGCACCCGAACCCAGACAGCTTAAGACAAGGTGGGGAGCTGACTTTAGTCCCGACAGGTGATCTCTGAACTCTGACTCTTGCTTGTCCATGGTGCAGTGATGGCCGAGACCATGCTTGCCCTCGGTGCTGATGGAGACATGGTGTTGGGGGGTGTGACTTCTCTTTGGCCATCTTGGATTGCTGTTACGTGCAGGGCCCACCAGTCAAATTGTTTGTCTAAGCTTCCGAGGCACACAGTGTCCTCTTGGTCCCTCCTTGCTGGGTTATACCCCACCAGTGACAGTTTATGTGTCTGAGATGTGGTGGCCCCCCTTTTTTCTTGAGGTGGGATGATATGGCCAAGGCTCCTGCCGTTATTTCTGGGATGTCCTTGTGCCTGAGTTTCTGGACTTCACTGGAGCCAACCCAGTTCTCTATGGATGGTTTGCCCTTGATGCCACCCTTGCCTTCGACATGTTTAGGCCTAGCTCCTCCAGAGCCTGGTATCTCCAAGGACCACCCCAAGCCAGGGAGAGGCTCTGGAAACCTCTGCTTCCTGGCAAGCAGAGCCTGAGGTGGTACCCTGCCCACTGCCAGGCTCATCCCAGTGACACTGTACCCCGGGCGCATCATCCTGTCTTTGGACTTCATCATGTTCTGCCTCCGCCTCATGCACATCTTCACAATCAGCAAGACGCTGGGGCCCAAGATAATCATCGTGAAACGGATGGTGAGGGCACAGGAGGCTTACCTGGGAAGGGCTGGGGCCCATGGCCGCTGTGAGGTGATCCCAGAGCTGTGCCCATCATGAAAGAAGGAGACTGGGTCTAGGGCTTACCAGTTGTCCTGTGTCTTGCCTCTGCCCTCATCCTCGGAATTGATGAATGTCCCTCAGACTGTTGTCTGGATGCCTCCTCCTCCAGGCCGCCTTCCCTGTTTCCCATGTCACAGCCCCCGCATGGGCCCCACTGCTGCTCAGATATAAGCCTTTTCTTCTTGGGTCATCTGACCCCCCTAAATCTTAGGGTACTCCCTGTCAAGATGTCAGTGTGCTCTCTGTGAGGTTTCGAGGAGGCCCTGGGCTGCTCCCCAGTGTCAGGGTGACAGCAGGAAGAGGGCATCCGGGGCGGGACGTGCCGCTCATCGTTTCACTCTCGCAGATGAAGGACGTCTTCTTCTTCCTCTTCCTCCTGGCGGTGTGGGTGGTATCCTTCGGAGTGGCCAAGCAGGCCATCCTCATTCATAACGAGAGCCGAGTGGACTGGATCTTCCGAGGGGTCGTCTACCACTCTTACCTGACCATCTTTGGGCAGATCCCAACCTACATCGATGGTAGGGAGCCAGGTTGTGGGAACCTACGGAGTAAGAGGAACTGAGAGAGATGGAGACGGGGAGCTCCTTAGGACCTCTTAAGAGTCCAAGGTTACAGGAGATGGCGGTCATTTCCAGCCAGGGTACGCGGCTTTCTAAGTCCCAGAAAAACCCGGGGCTCCATTGGGTTAGCTTGCCCTGGACGCTGAGAGCCCTCAAAGGAGAGTGAAGGGCACCTGCGTTTCCCAAGGAAGAGTGTGTCAACAGCAACTTAAGATGTATGGGGCACAGCTGACTACAACATTAAAAGCCACGTCAGCCCCTCTCCCTCACCCCACAACAGTCAGAAATTCCTACTCCTTGACAGGAAGATGGCTTTTTGGTGTTTGTGTGTGTGTGCATGTACCTGTGCCTGTGTGTGAGCCTGTGTGTGCTCATACATGTGTGAGCATGCGTATGTGAGCATGTGTGTGTGTTTATGTGAGTGTGTGTGCATATGTGTGAGTATATACACATGCGTGGTGGCCAGAGCACAACCTCAGGTGTCCTTTCTTAGGAGTCACCCACCTTGTTTGTGTTTTACTTCCCTTTTGCTTTTATTTCATGTGTGTGAGTGTTTGACTTCATGTAGCTGTGAGCCTCCATGTGGGTGTTGGGAGTTGAACCCAGGTCCTCTGGAAGGACTCATAACCACTTCAGGGTCCTAGGGGGCGGAGCAAGTCTCAGCGCCTCATTCCATTTTATGGCTCAATTGTATTTCTCTGCATGGATGGAGCACATTTTAGTTATTCATAAGCTGTGACCACGTTCGTTCTTTGTGGGTTTTGGCTACCATGGCTGCTGCCGCTGCCGCTGCCGCCGCCACCACCGCCGCCGCTGCTGCAAACTTACATCTGTGCTTCTGTGTGGGTGTGTTTGACTCTGGGAACACACCGAGTTGTTTCCACAGAGGCAACGTGTTCCAGTTTCTCCACACTCACCTCACACTTGTTACTGTCGGGTGGCTGTCAGCAGTGTCTCCTTGTGGATTTGATTGGCATTTCGCTAATGGCTTCTGTGAACATATTGTTATGTGTTTACTGGACCATTTGTGCATCTTCTTAGGAGAAATGTCCATTTCTGTCTTTTGCTCATTTCCCCCTTCCATTATATTTTTTCTTATTTATTGAGCTTTTAAGACTTCTGTCAGAGGACTAGTTTGCAATACTTCCTATTATTACAGAGGTTGTCATTTTATTTTATTTACGGAAAGGCACTTTCTTTGAAGCATATAACTTTAATGAGGTACAGCTTGATTTTTATAATCATTTGAGCCTCTGTGTCACGGTGGAGAAAACGTTGCCTAACTGAAGGCTCAGAAGGTTTATGTGTGTGTTTTTCTCGTAAGGGTTTATAGCTTTCGATCTTTCTTTTGACCTCTGACTCATTGGCAAAAAACTAGCTTTCAGCCTCGCCCCATCAGTGATAACTGCAGTCTTCCCCTATGCGGCTATGAATCTACGTTGTCTGTACACATTTGTATGTGAGATAAGGGTTGTTCTTCGATTTCTCTTTATTATTTTATATATGTTAGCATTTCACTTGAATGTATTGTGTATATATTACATGTCTGCTTGGTGCTCAGGGAGGCCAGAAGAAAGCATCAGATTCGCTGGAACTGGAGTGAGAGATGGTTGTGGCCCACCATGGGGCAAGTATTTCTCAGTGAGTTGTTTTGGCTCCTTGGGAAAGCCACCTGACCACGACTAAAAGCACTCATTTCAGGTCTCCCATCGTTTTCTGCTGTGCCAAGGCTGCTGTAGTTTATAGTAAGTTCAGATATCAGGCCGGGTCAGTCCTCCAGGCTTGCTTTTCTTTTTCCCAAATGGCTTTGGTCTCTGAATTCCTTGGGTCCATGTGAAGGTTGGGGCTTTCGGCTGGAAGCAGGCTCTCCCTCTGACCGTTTGGAGCACTGACTTATCTTAGTCCTCCTTCGGCTTCTAGTGGCCAGGTCTGCTGAGTAGACCAGCGGTATCGCCCTCTTTTTTAGTGTGTGTTGCTGTTATTTTTCTTTTATGTCTATTATTTTTAGATATATTTTATTTTTTAATGGTGTGTGTGTGTGTGTGTGTGTGTGTGTGTGTGTGTGTGTGTTTGAGGGTATGTGTACATGAAAACAGTGCCCACAGAATCTGATCCCTGGAAGTTGGAGTTATAGTAGTTGAGAGCCATCTGAAGTGGGTGCTGGGAACTGAACTTGGGTCCTCTGGGAGGGCAGTTATGTGCTCTTACCTGCTGAGCCACCTCTCTAGCCCCCACTATTTCTTTCAAACTCCTTTCCTTCTAATTAAACTTCTCAGGATCAAGGCCCATGCACCGATGACAGTAGCCATGAGAAGTGCCTTGGGAGAGACAGCTGGATCCTGGGGTACAGGGTGCCAACTTGGGAGAAAGCTTTGGCTCCAGGCTCCCCTCCAACAGTCCACTCCCTGCTTGAGTGACCAAGTACATATGGTCATCTTGTCAGGCTTTGGACATCCAGCCCCTAACTCCTGGGATGTAATGTTTAAACACTGTGAGGACCATAGGTGCCCCAATGGCCAGGGTCCCTGGCAGCCAGTTCCTGGTGACAAACTGCATGGTTTTTTGTTCCCCCTCCCCCATTCCTCACAGGTGTAAATTTCAGCATGGACCAGTGCAGCCCCAATGGCACGGACCCCTACAAGCCCAAGTGTCCGGAGAGCGACTGGACAGGGAAAGTGCCTGCCTTCCCCGAGTGGCTCACGGTCACCCTGCTCTGCCTCTACCTGCTCTTCGCCAACATCCTGCTGCTTAACTTGCTCATCGCCATGTTCAAGTGAGTGTGGGCACGGGGGCGGGGCGGGGCTCTCCTGGGCTGGCGTGTGTGCACACGTAGTTCCTGTGGAACCAGCATGCCATCCTGTCCGTGTCACTGTTCCTGGTGGTCCAGTAACCCCTGCCCACTGACTCTGGGACCCAGTCTTCCCACATGAAACCCTTGAGCCCTTGGCCCAGGTTTCCTGGTGGCTGTGACCTTTGGAAGTCCCTCCGTTTCGGTCTGCACTCTTTCCTCACCAGCTGAGTTTGGGGGCTGCCCCTTTCTGTTTTCAGAGTATTCTGAACATTAAGAACCACAGGAGCTAGCTACCTCTGAGGTCAGGGCTAGGGGTATGGGTAGGAGTGGGGAGGACAAGCCATCTGATAATGTGTCACACCTCCCTTCCCCTGCCCCCAGGCCTCAGTGTCAGACTCGGGTGCCTAAAGTACCTGAAGCAGCATCCTCTCCTTCTTCGAATCACTAGATATTCTGTGCAGTTCCGAGCTGTGTCTAGCCCCTCCCAGATGCCATCTTTTCTTATTCACGAATACAAACCTAAAATCCCCGTGATTTCCCTTCCGCTCACCTGCTTCTGCTGTGCCAGACACTTGGCCCTGGAATGCTGTGTCCCACAAGCCTTCTGACACACACACCTCTGCCTCCCACCAGCTATACATTCCAGGAGGTGCAGGAGCACACAGACCAGATCTGGAAGTTCCAGCGCCACGATCTGATTGAGGAGTACCACGGCCGGCCCCCGGCCCCTCCACCCCTCATCCTCCTCAGCCACCTGCAGCTCCTGATCAAGAGGATTGTCCTGAAGATTCCTGCCAAGCGGCACAAGCAGCTCAGTGAGCCCCCTGAACCCCCCTCCCACATCGTGTAGTCCTGCCATCCTGGGTGTGGGGTTCCTTTCAGAACCCCGGGCGGTCAGCAGGCATGGCGACCTCTCCTGCTGCAGGGCTCTCCCTGCCACCAGCATGAGCCAGTAGTTCCCTGGGCCTGGACATGGGGTGCTAGTCCCTCTCCATGGGGCCCTGGGTGAGTTATCAGATCCTTGCTAAGCCCCATCCCGCCTACAGAGAACAAGCTGGAGAAGAACGAGGAGGTGGCCCTCCTGACCTGGGAGGTCTACCTGAAGGAGAACTACCTGCAGAACCAGCAGTTCCAGCATAAACAGTGGCCAGAGCAGAAGATCCAGGACATCAGTGAGAAGTACAGAGGCTGGGGGCCCTGGGGGATGCATCCTAAAAGCCATGCCCCAAAGCCATTCAAAGTATGGTCTCAAGGGGGGGAGGGCCCATGCTCAAATTGTGGGAGAGAAAACTGGATGTCATCACGCTCAGACAAGCAAGCAGGGACCTGATTGTGAGGGTGATAGCGGTGATGGTGATGATGGTAGTGATGAAAGTGATGATGGTGGAAATGGCGATGATTATGGTACTGATGATGGTAGTGGTGGTAACGGTGGTGATGTTGATGTGACATGGTGACAATGAGGTTAGTGCTGGAGGCCGTGGTGACTATAGTGATGGCGCTGGTGCTGGTGCTGGTGCTGCTGGAGGCGATGGTGTTGAGAGTGATGGCACTACTCCTGATAGTGCTGGGAGTCATGGTGACAATGACGGCAGCATCGGCACGCCTAGCTGACGATCGAAGCCCCTTGTGCCTATCACGATGGGTAAGCTAGACAAAGATGTCGACCGTTTGCTTGAGTTCGGATACCATGACGTCGAGTTAGTCCTCGAAGTGCCCTCTGCTTGGAACGGATTTCTACTCAGTGCCATCATATGGAAGGGTCTTTCCTGCTTCCACACTCCCTGTCCATACCTGTGACATTTCAGCAGGCTGGCTGGTTGGCAGGTTTACTGGCGTGTTGGTTGGTTGATGGTTTTGTGAGTGTATTGCTTGGTGAGTCTGTTTCAGGTTCATCTGTGGTTTATTGGTGGATTTAGGGGCTTATTGGTTGGTGAGTGTATCAACTGATTGCTTGGCGGTGTGCTAGTTCCTTTTTGGCAGTTGTGATAAAACACCATGGCCAAGGCAACTTATAGAAGAAAGTTTATTTTGTCTTACAGGCCCAGAGGGTTAGAGTCCATAACTGTGGGCATATCATGGCAGTAGGTGGCAAGCATTTCAGCAGGAGCACAAAGCTGGGTGCTCACATCTTGAACTGTTAGCACAAAGCAGAGAGAGCAAATCTAAAAACCCGCCAGTGATATCCTTCTTCTAACAAGAACAGAGAACCTATGCCTTCCCAAACAGGACCATCAACTGGGGACCAAGGATTCAAATACCCAAGACTTTGGGGAGGAAATTTCTCATTCGGATCACCCCAGTGGGCTGGGGGTAGTACTTAGCTGTCCCTCCATGAGCTTCCTGAGAGCAGGGATAGAATCCTACAGGGTCCCCCAGAGTAGCTGCCCCTCTCCCCCAGTAAAACCCAGAGCCTGGCAGAAACTCTGTGAATGCCTTGAGGTTGTTGAGCTGTGGGTGCTGGCCCGGCTGGCCTGCAGCAGATTGGGTTGTGTTCTTTGCTGATACCACATTCTCATTGACTATTTAAATGGCAGGTGCCGGAGTCCACGCAGCCCCTCAGCACCTGCTCATCAGAATGATTGTATGGTGTCATTAGATTTTGAACAATAACTGTACCCGCTGCCCAGATTCTGGGGTGTGTGGTATCCAAGGCTTGTAAAAGGGGGCTTATGTCTGGATGCTCCACCACCAGGGTGATCTTGAAGCTGGGTCAGTACAGCCAGCCTGAGGGCTCTCATGGCACAGTGTCAAGGGCTTGCTTGTTGACTGAGCACATGGCCTGCATCCCTACTCTAGCCTTTCTTACAGAAAGGCATTTGAAGTGACAAAGACTCAAGAAAGGGGCAGAAGTATCATGGTCCAGCGTTCACTGCTGGTGAACAGTATAGCCTGGAATCGAGAGCCTGTCCTGGTGATTTTGTGCTCTCCTGCCTCAGGGAACTAGGCTGGCCCTGAAGATGTCAGCCACATGGGCCCACTCAGCCCTTGTCCCAGAAGGAGGCTCAGAAAGGATCTGATGTCTAGTTTCCAGCCTGGGAGGAAGTCCAACTGGAGGAAGTTGGACTTCTCCAGTTATTTCCTGAGGTTAAAAGGGATTATTAAAATATCAAATTTCCAAGATGGTTCCTAAGGCATTCCAGTGGGAATCGTACCTAGCGTGCTAAGATGTAGCTTCTCGGGGTCTCTGGCTTATTGTTTAGAAGTCTTTAACAGAAGTCTATGCGCCCAGGGCGTAAGTACTGTGAAGCACAGAGTGACAGGTTAGATGATGAGTGACGGTCCCTCGGACCTGGTGAAGACCCTGGCCTGGCCACTTCCTCTCTGGGGGCACGGTGAGGGATCTGAGACCCAGGGAGGCACCCTGATGCATGGTGTGCCAGCACCTCATGGCACTGGGCTGAGCTAAGTTGGTCCCAGCTTCTCAGCCATAGAGAATAGCTGGACGTTTTAGGGTTTCTGCAAATCTAAATGATTCCCACTGTGTCACCATGACTGAATCATAGGTTTCCAAACATGCTGAAAACATCACAGCATCACCCTTACATGTTGGCAAGGTTGTCTTGGAAAAAGGGGCAAGGGCACCAGGGGTGTGTTTTGTGGACTGAAGCAGCAGAAGCCAGCGCACTCCGTGTGGCTCCTAGCTTCCCTTCCCTGGATGACTGTTTAAACTGGGTCACATCCCAGAGACACTCATAAGATATTACCAAGTGGCTCACTTTATTACAAACGGATATTGCTAGCAGTCTGGCACCGAAAGTGTGAGGAAGTAAAGGAGTCCCTGGGTAAACAACTTTGAGCTGGGCAGGCAGGCTTGATGGTGTTTTGACTATAAACACAGCTGGTCTCGGGAGGGGCTTTTAGTTCAAACTAAACATTCCCCAACAGCCCCAGTACCCCACCTGCACCAACCTAGCTGTCCCCACAAGCTTTGTCAGCTGAGATAGCTTTCAGAGCTCGTGGCCTGGCACCGTGTGGCAAATCTAGACAGGTGGGCTGCTGTGCATACTGTCACCTCCCCCAGCTGACACCTCGGGTGGCTTGTTGAACTGGGGCCACAGAAGCCTGGGTTGCCCACTTGCTGGGACAGTTTTATTTTACGATAGAGACATATGCTGTAGATACTTTCAGATTACATGAGACAGTATTGAAATGAGAGCTGGTGGGATGCCACGCCTGGGCTGCTGGGTTTGGTGGGGCTGTCTGGAATTGGGGTGTCATGTTTTCTATAATCGGCAGGTTCACTAATGCTCATCCATCTGTCCTCTTTTAGAGTGGACACTATGGTGGGTCTGCTGGACATGGACCGTGTGAAGAGGTCAGGCTCCATGGAGCAGAGGCTGGCCTCCTTGGAGGAACAGGTAGGGTTGGGAGTCAGGGCCTGGTGGGGCATTTTGTGGCGTGGCGATGCTGAGACTGGGCACTTTGGGAAAAGATGGAGAAATGGAGGTTTGTAAAGGGGTGGGGGGTGGAGAGGGAGAGAGGGAGGGAGGAAGGAAGGGGGGGGTCATTATCCAAAGGTCACTTTTTTTATTCCCTAGAAAATTCTATCCAAGCTTTCTAACACTGAGCTCTCCCAGGTTTTTTTTTATTCCCTAGAAAATTCTATCCAAGCTTTCTAACACTGAGCTCTCCCAGGTTTGAGCTGTGAGGCAGCCATATTTGGTACATGGTTCTGGTGGTCCCACAGCATACATAGCTCCTCTCTCCACTTGAGACCACCCCTGAGACACTGATGTCTTGGGACTTTAGAGGACCAACCTCAAGTTCTCCTCTGAGGCTGCATGACCCAGCTAGTTGTCTGGGTCACTCGGGGATTGAGGCCAGTCCTCCAGGACATAAGCCATATGCAATGTGGACCACACATGCCAACCCAGTCTTTCTTGGGGCGTGCCATCCAGGTGGCTCAGACGGCCAGAGCCTTGCATTGGATCGTGACAGCCCTGAAGGACAGTGGCTTTGGCTCAGGGGCAGGCGTGCTGACCCTGGGTGAGTATATGGTGTCTCAGGAGCCATCGCCAATAATCTGTGGTTTTGAGTCCAGAGGATGGGTTGGGAGGAGAGGCAGCTCTAGGGGTTTTGCTGAAGGAGGACTTTGGCGGTAGCCATCTCCATGCCCTGCGGGGCCAGCCCTCACCTCTGCCTGTGAGCTGAGCTGGCTTGAGCTGTTATTAGACTCCAAGGGGGCAGCATGCTACACATCTCATTAACCTCCTTCTTTCTGACTTCCTTCTTTACATCTTGCCGCAAAGTTGAGAGCAGAGAACAGTTCTAAGTGACTGAGGCTATCGTGTCAATCAAGGAATAGAAAGTAAAGTCCGTCTCCCTGAATGTGCAGCCAGGAAGGAAGTGGACACGAATGGTCGTGGTCTTTCCTGGCTGGCCCTGAGGGAAAACTTGTCCCCATTCATTGGACAGGCCCTGCAGCAGCCTGTGAGGTTAGCTCACCACTGAGACATTTCAGTGTGGCTTCAGTGGCAGGTGTCTGCTAGCAGATGACGACCTAACTTCTTCTTTGCCCTTCCATGGCTGAGATCCCTGAGGTGGGAAGTCGGGATCTGACATTCAAACACGTGACTGTTTCTAGCGCCCCAGAAGGCCTTCGATGAGCCGGATGCTGAGCTGAGTATCAGGAGGAAAGCAGAGGAGCCAGGAGATGGCTACCACGTGAACGCCCGGCATCTCCTCTACCCCAATGCCCGCATCATGCGCTTCCCCGTGCCTAACGAGAAGGTGCCCTGGGAGGTGAGTATAATTCTCTCATGTGCACCAAGGCAGGAGGTGGTGCTGGGCTCTGCGGGAGAAGAGCTCCCCCACCTCCGTGTTCATGGTGGCCTCCACCCACCACAGCCTCTCTGGTCATCTGAGCATTTGATGGACTAAGCCATCCACGCAATCACAGGAGCCAGACAGCCAAACTGTGGAAGGGGCCTGGTGAGGCACCGTGGCCTTACAGAGTCATGGCCCTGCGGTCACGTTTCTGCAGCCTCTCACATGCTCCAGCTGTCCTGGCCCTGCCATCCCACCTATTCCTCCTTGTTCTTGACTCTTTGGTCCCTAGTGAGCAACCATCACCCTCCTTTTGAGTACTGGGCATAAAAGAGAGACCTCTCTGCACACAGAGATGGAGATAATGGCACCTGGGAGCTCACTTGCTTGCCTGCCTTCTCTCAGTTCTTCTGGGACATTCCAGGCTGCAGTTCATATCTCACTTTTTCCTCTGCTGCATGGAATCCTTTTCACCTCCAGGGACCCACGCAGTCTCCACCCCATCCTGGGAAGGGCTCACATCATCCATGGTGATGCATTGGAGTGTCCACCTGGAGTCTCCTCCTCAACTCCACAAGGGCTGGGAGATGCCCATGCACACTGGGGAAGGGTATTTAGTCCTGGTTGGGTGGTGCCCTTTGCTGTAGCTTCTCAGGGGCCCATTTGTAGCCCTCAGGCCTAGCCTGCCTGGAATTAGGGTGACCCTCTGAGGGAGTTCATCTGCTTTGTTGTAGGCGGAGTTTCTGATCTATGACCCTCCATTTTACACCGCCGAGAAGAAAGATGTGGCTCTCACAGACCCTGTGGGAGAGTGAGTAGCTTTTTCTCCAGAGAGGTCCCAGGATTCACATGGGGCAGGCCCAGGCAGGCTCTCCCTCATCTGCCCCAGGGACCCTAGGTCAGCTCTTCCTGTCCTGGACACAGCTCATTCTGACGATGGACATGAGCTGTGGCCAGAGGCCCCTCTTAAAGGAAAGGCCCATGGTCACTGGAGTTGGGCTGAGCCCCTGTCTCCCTGTGTCCCTACTCTGCCATAATGTCCCTCTTATAGGGAAATGTCCTCTTGCTTGCCCCCAGCATGGCAGAACCTCTGTCTAAGATCAGTTACAACGTTGTGGATGGAATGACAGACCGCCGAAGCTTCCACGGAGCCTATGTGGTCCAGTACGGGCTCCCCTTGTGAGTATGGCCAGAGTCAGGTGGCATCAGTAAGCTGGCCCTTGGGGTGCATTCCTTTCTGAGCAAGCTGACATTTCTTTCTGGAAAAAGCAAGCAACAAGAGGAACGAAAACTCAACTTGTGTCATTTCCTCAGAGGATGCTCAGAGCCTTTTTTTGTCCCTTTCCCGAGAAGGCTCCTGGAGCTATGCCAGCAGGGTCCCAAGCGCACAGGTCTGTTTAGTACCTGGGGACTTTGACTCATGGTTGGAAACGCAGGGACCACAGTCAGGTGCGAGGAGAGCACTCTGCTGCCTCAGTGTGTGGCTGGTGAGTCCATAGTAGGGGTGACCATGCCCTGCATCTATGAGGATATAGCAAGTGACCCATAAACGCCACTGTGCTTCCAGATGGCATGTGGCCAGCAGGGGGAGCAGCGGAGCAGAGGATGCTAAGGGCTTAAATGGGAAGCAGGCAAATATTCATGAACAGAGTGGGCTACTGTCCCAGCAGCCAGAGGTTGTATAAGCTGGCAGCAGGGGAGAGGTGGCATGAACCAGACCAGGGCTCCAACCTGGGTGTCTGCATGATGGAGCCATAACAGATGGGGTGAACAGTGCTTAGGAAGGAAGGTCAGTTGTGGGGTGAGTGACCGAGGAGGAGGAGCAAGGATGAGGTGACAGGTCATGATAGCTGTGTGGAAACAGATGCTGTGTGTTTGTACACATGTAAACCAGAGGAGTTTGGTCTCCCAGATCACTCTCCAACTTACTTTTTGAGGCAGAGTCTTACTTTTTGAGACTGGAGCTCACCAGCTGGCTAGGCAGGCTGGTCAATAATCCTCCTGTCTCTGCCACCTCCTGGGATTTCAGGTACATATTTCTATACTCACTCCTTTTTTTCTACATGAATTCTGAGGATTTGAACCTGGTCCTCATGCTGGCATGACCAACGCTTTCCCTCCTGAGTCATCTCTCAGCCCCAATAATTTTTATATAATAACACTGCTTATGTAATTAGAACCCATGAACTGTTCTTTAAATTATATTTCCCTAGATCTAGTTTCCATCTGTGAAATGATTGGCTAAATCTGTTTTATGTTGCTCTTGATAGAAGGCCGAAGACTAAATATGTTATGGGGGAAAAAAAGGTTGCTTTTGGCTCATGGTTCCGGCCCAAGGTCAGAAGCTTGCATCCAATGATGCCTTCTTGCTCATGGGGCAGAGAAAGTACAGGATGCCATATGGCTAGGATAGTCTGTGAGGGCAGTCACTTCCTGAAGGTCCCTCCTGATCCCAGTGCTCCATGTATCTCGTGATGGGGTGGACTTGACGTGAGCTTTGGTGGGAACAAGGGCAGATCGCAGATGGTGAGGAAGCATTGTTCTCCTACAAAATGGTGTTTGTAGTAAGTGTTCCCAGTTGACCTCGCAGCTGGAGGGGGTGCTTGTCCGAGGTAGAGAAATTACTGGGCCAGTCAGCTTTCCATCATTACAAAATACCCAGGACGACCAGCGGAGAGACAGAGAACTGTCACTGTGGCCTCAGACTCAAGCTGGCCCTGGTGGCTCTGTGGGGCGGTAACCCCATCATGGCAGAGTGTGTGGAGTAGCGAGAGTTGCTCACCTCCCCACTGGAAAACAAAAGGGCATCCCGATGATGTAAAGTCTCCCATCAGGCCTCAGCTCCCAAGAGCTCTACCTCCCAATACCTCCACGCTAGGACCAAGCCATTAGGTGGTGTGGGGACATTAGGACCTCAGCTGAGCAGTGGGAGATGGGAGAGGGAAGGAAGAGGGGGTGGCGGGGGCCACTACGAACTGACGAAGGAGGCAGAGCCTGCCCTTGGGGGTGGGTCTTGCCAGGTGGCAGATGTGGAGTGGTGGGCTAGGAGGGTGATGTGTGGAGGAGGCTGGGCCTGTCCTCTGTGGCCACCCTGGGGTGCATCTCCCTCTGTTTTGTGTTGAAGTCATGAGATCTACCAGTTCTTAGTCTTGATTTGGAATGGGGTCCGGTTGTACGAGAGGAGGGGAGAGGGGTCCTGGCCCAATGAGAGGCACCTTGCTGCTCGTGGTTAGCCCTCTTGCTCCAAGGGTACAGTGAGGCCATGTATCCACAGCCTGGTTTCTTCATCCTGGCTTCAAGTACAGTCACCCATTATTTGTGGCCCCAAGCACCAGACATAGGACTCTCTGGGTGTTTGGCCCTACCTGTGAAGGAGGGTTGGCCGTGGTGGTTGTATACTAGATTCACCACGTGGAGATCCCTGAGGGGCCAGGACAGGTTGGCAGGAGCCAGGACACTATCCCTGCTGTGCCCATTGTGACTTGGCCCCACCTGCCCAATGTTCCTGCTCCTAACCTCCTCATCAGATACAGTGGGTAAGTGAACCCTTTCTCACCTAGGAACCCCATGGGCCGAACGGGGTTGCGTGGACGAGGGAGCCTCAGCTGGTTTGGACCCAACCATACCCTGCAGCCGGTGGTTACTCGGTGAGCGCCATGTCCGCCATCTGCGCCTTGGCTCCGAAGATACTCCCCCACCCCCATATTCTGAGGGCCTCTGGGATGGCCTTGGTACTTGACACTTTGCACAGCCTGTGGAAAAACGCAGACACGTGTCCTGCACCCCGCCATTTTTGAGAAAGCCCAGGCTACCCCTTTTCCCCTTGGAGGCTGTTTAATTGTCCTGGGGTGGCCCTGTAGCCCTACCATGGGGCTGATAAAAAAAACTGAGTCTAGAGCTAAAGAGAAAAAGCTACAGAAATTACAAAACAAAACAAAGCCCACCCACAATCCCATTGTAATGTTAAAATTTGGGGAATGTGTACAAATCCACACTCTTACACAGCCTTGCAGGAATAGTCCCATATTCTCCCCTCAAGCTTTTTAACCACAACCCAACCCTGGGTCCCACCTACCTTCTAGGCAGGTGCTGACTGGCTGCACTTAGGGGATCCTTTGGGGGAGTTCTAGCCCAGGATGTGTGGAATACAAGGCACTGGGCTCTTCTGACAATGCCAGAGAGCTGTGGAGTTGGGCAACTGGGATGGGCTCTCTCCATGTGGCTTCTGTTTCTGTTCTGCTTGGGAACTAGGTGCTTAGGATGGGGGTAGAGTAGGGTTGGGGGTGGGATAGGGAGGAAGAAAATTGGGGTAGGGTGGGGGTTGAGGCTGTCGGAGAGGCCACAGTGGGTCTGATGCTGGCTCCAGGCTGGGGCCAGTCCCTGTCTGCTGCTCTGCATGAGGGCACCCGTGGCCATGCAGGTGTAAATGGGTCCCTTGTGTAGGTGGAAGAGGAACCAGGGTGGAGCCATCTGCCGGAAGAGTGTCAGGAAGATGCTGGAGGTGCTGGTGATGAAGCTGCCTCACTCAGAGCACTGGGCGCTGCCAGGGGTAAGCCAAACACCGTATCCATCCCTGTCACACTCACTGCAGGAACAGGGACAATCCCAGCCTCCCATCGCCCTCGGTGAGTTAATACGGTGCAGTGCCTCTTCAGAGCTCCCTTCCTGGCTTCCACACAGGTTCCCACTTGTGTATCCCAGGCCAGCCTTCCCTGGGTGGCAGAGCTCAGGGCAGGGACAGCTCCCAGTGGCTCAGATGTGGATTGCCTCTCCCGCTCCAGACTCTTGAGTTGAGCCCTAAAGACAGAGAGGTGCTGTTTAAGGGTTAAGGGTGGGGTGTTGCACAGGCCTTTGGCTCAGGAACAGCCCCTTGCTAACTAAGGGGCTGAAGGTGAGAGGGCATCCTAGAGGCCCTTTGGGAATGATGTCTCTCCTCTGTCCCTATTCCCCATGTCTGCGATTTTTCCCCAACTTAACAAAAAGCTATCCTGCTTTTAAGGCTTCTGTCTGTGCCCACGGCCCAGTGGCTGCCTTGGTAGAGGCACATGTCCCTGAAGTGGTACGGGCCAGTGGTGTCAGCCAGGGTCTTCAGGCTAGAGGGTGGCTTGCAGGGCCAGGGCAGTATCCAGGCCTTCTGGATGCTGAGAGCCCAGCATCGGGAACCAGGCAGATGGAACAGAGGACAGGCAAACAATTAGGGTATAGTGCCTGTCCCTGATGGGAGGTGGTGATAAGGCCCAGTTGCCTTCCTGGAGTCACAGTGGCTGTCCCTGCCCCTCTTTAGTTCCACACCCCTGCTCAGGCTGCAGGCTGCTGACGTGGTTGGTGGATCTGGCCAGTGTCACTTAGGCGGCAAGCTGACTCTGGGCTGACAGACACTGCCGCCTTCAGCTTTCCAGGGGGCTGGCTGGCTGCCTACACTGGGCAGGTGGCCAGAGGAGATGGGCTCCTGGGTTGCCTGGGATCCAGCCTGCATGCCTTGTTGACTGGACTTCACTTCTTCTCTGCTTAGGGCTCTCGGGAGCCAGGGGAGATGCTGCCCCGGAAGCTGAAACAGGTCCTCCGGCAGGAGTTCTGGGTGGCCTTTGAGACCTTGTTGATGCAGGGTACAGAGGTAGGGCCCACTCCCAGTGCACTGAGCCCTGTGTTGGGTCCCACAGGTTCAGCAGTACCGTCCTGAGTCCTTGGACAGGGCTCTGATGCTTACTTCTTTATAGGACCCTCTACCCTCCCTAGTCAGTCTGGGTGACTCTTTGTACTCAGACATGTGTGTTCCTGATGGACATGGGCCATAAGCAGACTATGACTTGCTTCTTCACACCATATGAGAAGCTGTCTTTTAAGTCCAGATTTAGAAATTCATCTCTGTTTTTCGGGACTAATGTATTGGTGGATATACCATGACTAATTTCAACAGCCCCCTGGGGGCAGTCCAGCTGTTCTGTATGTTAGAAAGAAGCAAGAGTGATGGCTGGTGACTCCTGATGTTACTTGGAGTCCCTTAGTGTTGGATGGAATCATTGGTACAGTGCCTCACTGGACACCACTGCCTTCTCTCTTGCAAGTAAAAAAAATAATTTCTTTTCTTACTAGAGTAAAACTCACATAGCATGAGTCTGGAGTCTGTGGATAAACACAGACACATCCAGAAACAAGGCTGAAATGCCTGCCGCTCACCCTCTTTGAGAAAGCTCAGGTCATCGTGCTCACCTCCAGATTAAGTTTCCCGTGATTCCTCCTTAGCCCCACTAGGGGGCTGACAGAGATTTTTGTCTAGAATGAGCAACTCCCTCACATTTATACACTCCCTAATACTCTAGTTCCAACACCAAAAAAGAAGCCCTCATGCCCCAGAGAAGCCTTCTGCCATTAGCTCTGGGATGGTGGTTCTGGACTCCCATTTTTGTTGGGGTTGTGTAGCACTGACTGTTGTCTGGGCTCTCCCTGAGCAGAGTGCTTGAGGATGAGGCTGCTGGATGCCCGGTGCTGCCGGGTCCCATGACTGACTTGTGCCAGAAGCCAGGAGTAGGGTCAGGAGGCTGTGGGGTCCGAGACCGGTCAGGGAGAAATCAAGTGCTGGGTAGCCTCAGGCAGGAGTAGCCAGCCATGTTCACTCTGCCCCAGGAATCCCTCCCTCCCTGTGGATCTGAGCTCCTGCAGGGTGGGCTGGGGAGTCAGGGCCCCCTCACTAGACCAGCTGGCTTACCCCTGTCCCGGCCTCCAGGTGTACAAAGGGTACGTGGATGACCCACGGAACACAGACAATGCTTGGATCGAGACGGTGGCTGTCAGCATCCATTTCCAAGGCCAGAACGATGTGGAGCTCAAGAGGCTAGAAGAGGTATGAGGCCAGCCTCCAGAGCAGGGAGCACGGTGGAATGCTCCGGACGCATCTCGGGGCCCTCTCCATAGTGGTCTGCTTGGCATCTCGAGACAGAGATGCCCATCGATGGGGAGGCTAACATGGAGGTTCTCATCCTGAAGAGACCAAAGGGGCATCAGGGAGAGGCCTTGGAACCACAGTAGAGGCTGAACAGTGGGCCCATTCCCAAGTTGTTTGGGGAGGAGGCATATTAGTAGATTATTGCTGTGACAATACTTGGGACAAAGCAGCTTTGGGGAAGGGTTTGTCTTGGCTCGTGGTCGATCACGGCTGGGGAGTATGGGAGCAGGAACACAAAGCAGCTGCTCCCATGATGCTCAAGTTGCATCTTCAGTCAGGAAGTAGACGTGGGATGCATCTCAACATCTTATGTTTCCCAGAATCCCATCTCCAGGAATGGCACCACCCACATTCAGAGCGGGTCTTCCTTCCTTAGTTAGTCCAGGCTAGACAGTCTCTGGTGGACTTGCCTGGAGATTTGTCTCCAAGGTGATTCTAGACCCTGTCAAGTTGATGGTCCCTGTGAGCCACCTCGAGAGGACTTGACCATGTCCAGAGAGAGGCTGGCAAGGCCTTCTCCACTCCCTGTGCCCTCTTTATGGACATCTGTCCACCTGTCCTCTATACTGCTTGATTTAGAACTAGGATGGGAAAAGTCCCACTCTGAAATCCAGGCCTCCTGGCAGAACGAAGGCCTCTGAGTAAGGTCGAATCTCTCCATTCACTTGGGACTATAAGATCCAAAGGGGCCGGCTCAGCGCCCAGAGCTGGCGATCCTGTGCCATACAGTGGGCAGGGGTGGGAGACAGTATGGTCAGGCTGCACCAGCCCCTGCAGCCTGAGGATCCAGGGTTCCGGGTAGACATAGGTGCTTGTCTTTGCAGAACCTGCACACCCATGATCCAAAGGAGTCGACCGGTGGCCTGGGGATGTCTACTGAATGGCAGGTGGTGGATCGGCGCATCCCCCTCTATGCGAACCACAAGACCATCCTCCAAAAGGTGGCCTCGCTGTTTGGAGCTCACTTCTGACTGTGGGTTCTGGCGGAAGCTCCAGGGGCACAAGTGGCCATCCATCAATGGCCCCAGGACTTGGGCTGCTTCGTTTAGGGCCGGCGGCAGGTTGTGGGGAGGGGTTGGGTGACCACCGGGATCTGAACAGGTCCCCAGAGGTGCTGTCCTGAGAGCCACCTCTGCCACAACAGGAGGGTTACAAGTAGCCTCTGTCCTCAGGGACCATGCCCTGACTGGGGCTAAATGGGCCCTGTCCAGCGAGATGCTGCCACTGCCCGTAAAGCCTGGCTGGAAGTGCTACCTCTGGGACAGGCGCTATCCCCTGGAGGGGCCTATGTCTTCATTGTGGGAGCCTTCTGCCCTACGCAGACCATAGATAGAGGCTGGGCCTCCTTCAGGAAGGGGCATTGTCCTCATGACTCCCAGCCAGTGCTGGGTCACAGGCGTTGGGAAAGGCAGTGAGGGCTTTGAGGTAGGACCATTCCCATCCCTACACTTCAGAAGGCACGCAGGCAGGGGCGTCCCCTCCCCCAGCTCCAGCTGACCTCAGGGCACAGAAGACAGTGGTGGTCACTGTGTCATGGCCTCTAGAGGAATGCACCATTGTGAATGAGAGGCTTTCTCTGACAGGGCAGGTGACTCAGGGGTCGGTACTGGCAAGGAGATCAGCGCTGTAGCCAGGGAGGGGTGGGCAAAGCTGTGCTTTAATGAGATGGGTCAATAAAGAACTGATATGACCGATCTATCTAGAAGTTAATCTTGGAAAAGTCCGGGACTCAACTCGGAACACCAGGAGCAAAGGAAAGCATGAGAACTCTCGGGTGGCTGGGGCCTGTTCCAGTAGACTGGGAAACACATCCTGAGCCATCCTGAGACACTGGAAACAGCCTGGTTTCCTAGACAGCAGGTATCCTTGGCTCCGAGAAAGGAGGCCAAGATGCCCAGAGGGAAGTGATCAGATTGGCATCTCCTGCCAAGCAACAGAAGGGTTTCTGGGAAGCAACAGGTAGCCTATGGAGGGCTGCTAAGTGGCTCCATGGAAGCTGGAGGGCACAGTCCTAGGTTGTTCTTTTTCCAGTTCGGGCTTCAAAACAATGCAAAGAGTCGGGAATTCTGAAAGATCCAGGAAGCCCTGGAGATCTAGGCTTTTTGAGAGAGCGAGGAATTCTAGGAGAAACAAGGATTCTACTGGTACAGAGGAGGCCCAACCTGGCCTAAATTGTTGAGAAAGTTGTCTAAAAGGCAACTGGCTCTGTTCTGGCTGGCCCTGTAGCCTCTTGGCCACCCTGTCTCCTGAGATACAGGCTAATAGCACAATGGCACAGGGATGGGGGTGGGGCGAGCATATGGAGAGCAAAACAAACCAGTCACATGTGCACCAGCTGAGGGATGCAGGTCATGGTTTCCTTCAAGGGTACCTTCGAATTCAGTCCCACCTCCTGAAGGTTCCACCACCTTCCAGCAGTACCATGCTAAGAACGAGGCCTCCAACAGTCAAGTCCCATGCCTGGGCCAAGAAGGCAGGAGCTGAGGAAACAAAAGGCACTTTGAGAGATTGGCCTAATTGCCTGTCTACCTCCCAGCTGTCCTTTAAGCCAAGCCAGCGGTGCCAGGAGATATCACAGCTAAAAGATGCAGTCTAACTGAATACTGACTCTACTTCTCTGGATTTCCCAGGGCTGTCTTTGGTTTTAGGATCTCAATACACTGACTTCTTAGTTCCTCTGTCTGCAGCAGTGACTCGGACTCCTGCTGTCCATAGTGATCTTTTCACTGCTGACCGTGTTGTCGCTCTGGACAGTGTATTCAGCTTGAGTGTGTCTGCTGTCTTCTCACAGCTGCCTGAAGGGACTCACTAGACGAGAGCATCAGCAGAGCAAGGTTATTCTTTCTCAATGTGTAGCCACTGCCTGTCTGGTCAGTGGGATATGAACCCGCGTGATGACTAATCATTGTAAACTTGATAGGACTTAGAATCACTAAAAGACTGAAGAAAACCTCTGGATGTAACTGGGAGCTTTTCTGGCTATATAGTGTGTTCCTATATCTACCCTTCTCCACCCCAATCTTTTCCAAGTTCCCAACTCTAGGTAGGCAAGAAAAAAGGTTAGAGGGGGTGTAGACTTTTTAGATTACTTCCTGCTGATGATGGGTGTTGAGTTCCTTGGGGCAAGTCCAATCTTCTTCATCAGGATATCTCCAATCAGCAAACCAGCAATCCAGTGAACAGCAACCCAGCCAATAGCAATAGCAAAGGCAGCAGCAGGGGCAGCAGCAGCCACTTCAGGCCCTCTCAGGGCCCTCAAGAGTCCCCAGAATTCTAAACATAAACTATCTCCAGCTGGCAAAAATCACTCCCCTCATAAAGCACGAAACAAATCATAGTCAGCGGCTGTGGACAACCCGAAGCAGCCCTATGTCCCACACCTGGGAATAAAACAAAAACATAGTCACACAACACACCTGGGTTTTTAAAAAGAAACCAAAATTCTCATTACATCTGGACACGTCTGTGAGGGTGTTTCTAGAGGATTTTAATTGAGGCAGGAAGACCTATCCTGAGCATGGGTGACACCACACTATGTGCTGGGGGGACTTGGGTGGAATACAAGAGGAAAAAGGCAGCTGAACGCCACTGTTCGGTCACTTTGCTTTCTGGTCCTCCAAGATGGGAGTAAGCAAGTCTTGAATGAATTCTGCCTTCCAGGCCGTGGGTGGGATTCTGCTGCTAAGCCTTCCCCACCAAACTAGGAACCAGAATAAATCTTCCTGTAAGTCGCTTGTAAGAAATCGCACACCGCCTGGGCGTGGTGGTACACTCCCTTAATCCCAGCACCCAGGGAGGCAGAGGCAGGTGGACTGCTGTGAGTTCAAGGCCAGCCTGGTCTACAAATCGAGTTCAGGACAGCCAAAGGTTACACAGAGAAACCCTGTCCTGAAAAAAAAATATATATATATATAGATAGATAGATAGATATAGATATAGATATAGATATAGATATAGATATAGATATAGATATAGATATAGATATAGTACACCAATGAGAAGAGCAACCAGCACACTTGGCCACATAAGACTGTGCTTTTATCCCTAGAGAATTCTCATTTTTCCCTTTGGAATTGACTGGTTTTGAGAGGCGTGTGGACACTATGGGACTCTGAAGGAAATTACTTGAAATGGAAAACCCCACTGTGTGGTGAGAAAGGACAGAAGGGGACACTCTGCTCTAACTCCACCAAAGGAAGCTGGCGTGGCTGTATTAAGGTCACCCAAGGTGGATTTCTAGTGATAACGCAGGACCAATCCATAGTGAAAACAGGGCCACTTAGTCCGAGAACACCTTCAGTCAGAACATGGGGGTCACAGTGAATGAAACAAACTCTGATGGGGCTGGGGAGTTCAGCTGGTAACGTGTTTGCTGCAGAAGCACAAGAGGCTGAGCCCAGATCCCCAGGACCCATGTTTTAAAAAGGCAGGCACTGGACTCTCAGTGCTGGAGAGGTGGGGACTGAGGGACTCCTGGGTCTTGCTGGCTGGTTGCTCTAGCCAAATCAGTGAACACTGAGTTGAGTGAAAGATACTGTCTCAAACACTAAAGTGGAGACCAAGGAAGACACTAAATACCAGTTTTTGGTTTACACACCCATAGGCACACGTGTTCACATACACATTCCTGTAAGCATACACATGCCCACATAGACAGACACCCCCCCACACACATGAAAAGCAGACTAATCTACAATTTAAAACAAATTATTCTTTAACATTTTATTTTAGCTGGCTGGTGATGGCACACGCCTTTGATCCCAGCACTTGGGAGGCAGAGGCAGGCAGATCTCTGTGAGTTTAAAGCCAGCCTGGTCTAAAGAACATGTTGTAGGACAGCCAAGGCTACACAGAGAAACTCTGTCTCAAAACAACCTTCCTTAAAAAAAAACAAAAAAAAAAACAAAAAAACATTTAATTTTATTATTGTGTGTTGTGTGTGTGTGTGTGTGTGTGTGTGTGTGTGTGTGTGCGTGCGCGCACACACCATAGCATACATGTGGAAGTCAGAGGACTTACTTCTCTGAAGAGTCAGTTCTCTCCTTTACCCTTTTGGGGATTCTGGGCACTGAACATAGGCCATCAGGTGTTAGCAAGGGCCATTGCCCTCTGAGCCACCTTGATGGCCCTAATCTACAGTTATAGGTAGGGATTTCAATCCCCACACTCAGTAATTACTAGAGCAAGTAGGCAAGCTGGTAATCCCTGAAAATTCTCTGTAATGTAGCCAGCAGCCTCCACCCCACAGACACGGAACACCCCACTGAGCAACAGAACACGCGCTCAGAGTGCTTGCAAGCCATCTCCACATTCTGGGCTGCAAGTGGGCCTCGGTAAAATTAAGCGGACCTGAAACGTAGAATATATCTCCCGACAGTGTATTTAAATTAGTAATAACAGAAACATTACTGGAGAAGTTTCAAACGTCTGGAAATTGAACGGCACACTGCTAAACTCATGGATCAAACAGGAAATAGAGAGGCTGATGAGATGACTCTGCAGGAAAAGGTGCTTGCTGCCAAGCCTGAGGACCCGAGTTTGATCCCTAGGACCCACACGGTGGAGAGGAGAGAGCCGGCTTTTGCAGGCTGTCCTCTGCCCTCCACACACTTGGGTGGCATTCGCCTGACCACACAAACACAAGTAAATAAATATTTATTTAAGAAGTAGAATGAGAGGTTATAGAGTATTTTAAACTTGATGACAATTAAAAAAAAAAGCACATAGATATCGAAAGTTCTAGATGCAGCTGAAACAGGACGAGAGGGAGTGCCTATGCTGGTAAGGGAAACACTGCCCAGGAGCTCAGCCTCTAGGGAGGAAGGGGAGAGGAAATTAAATACATGCAAGCAAAGGACGGAAGAAAGTTCAGGGCGGAAATCAACGGGAGAAAAGTGAAACTGTGGAGAAGCCACTTAAACCAAAAACTGTTGTTCTGAGTTAATCAACAATATCAGTATATGCAGGGCACTGGAGGAGTCACACGTGAGAACAGTGCCAATCACTGCCATTCACGGACACTGAAAGGGTTACGGCGATGTGTTTATGAACTCCTTCATGCTGACAATTGCGACAGCTTTGGTGAGACGGGAACTCTGAGAGAGATGAAACATAAGGCTAAGGGGGGAAACTCGGCACTGGTAAATGTGTTCAGCAACTCAACTGCATACAAAGAACATCACGACTAAGTCAGCTTTCTCCCCAGACACAGGCCAATTTAACAAACTTGAGGATCAATTGCTGTAATTCAGTGTTAACAGACTTGAGAACACAAAATCCAACATCCGCTCCTAATTAAAAAAAAAAAAAAACATTCCCAGCGAACAAGAGAAAAGATGATTCTCTCGACAACAGACAAAATGGGCTGTTTACCATGTCTCATTCCTTGTACCCAGATCAGCTCCAAACCTGGACTCAAATGCAGATCTCTACATCCATAAAACTCTGCCGCGTTCCCTAAGACATCTTATAGATGACACCCAAAATCACAATCCATCAAAGAAAACTGCTGAGTTAGACTCCCTCAAGATGCAAAACCGACCAACTGCGGGGGAAAACTGTCAAGAGAATGGAAAGACAGTTCCCACAGACTGAGGAACAATATTTACGAATCACGAAGGGTGTGTTTCCAAAAGAACTCTCACAACCCAAAACTAAGGAAAACAAACAACAAAGGCAGAAGCGTGGAGCAGACGGAAAAACAGACCACACCATGACCCATACCCACAGGCCAAGACAGCACTCTGCGCGCAGAGTGTCTTCAGCCAGGGCCACTGGCCCACCAGGAGCTATTGGCTACGAGCCTGCATGGTCAGTGGGGTGTGACACGGAGCCGAAGTCAAGCATGCTCCAGCCACTGCCCTTCAGGATATGTAGTCTAGGCTACTGCACAGTGCTCCCGTGGACCTTCTGTTAGAGCTCCAGATTAAAACCCGGCCGCAGCTGAACAGGTGTACAGAAACCGGCACGCTGGACCTAGGGAGAACCACAAGCCCAAAGAGTTGACTCGCGAAGTAAGGAGGCGGAAAGAGAACCTGTGTGATAGGAGGCCATTTAGAGAAGTCACGGGAAACTCGCTGCCCGCCGCGAGGAAGGCAGGTAACAAGGGGAGATGGAGGTCCTCCCGAGGGCGGTGGTGATAGGTTCCGGGCTGAGGATCAGATCCCGCGTTGACGCCCCCATTCGCCTTGGGCATTGGAACTTGGGGTGAGGGGCGTCATTCCGGCGGTGGGGATGCTCGGGGCGGGGCATGGCCACGTGGCACGTCCACGAACACTCCCCTTACCACTGCCCTAGAAAGCCGATACCTAAAACCGCCCACTCCCTCCCAGGCCCCGCCCATATTCCGCCGGGCCCCGCCCCTCACCCTAAACCTCACCCACAGCCCCTCGCGCCCCTCCCCAGGCCACCCCTTGTGTGTTCTGGCTCCGTAGGTTTTTATGAACTTAGTACAACCCTTCCTTACGCAGGCCCCAGACCCTATCCAGCCCCTCACCTATCTGGCCCTTCCCCTTAAGTCCTTGGCCCTCCTCAACCAGCACCCTCCCCTACCGAGCCCCTCCTCCTACATGCCCCTCCCCTCGCAAAAGACGGCCCTTTAGAGACCCCGCCCCTGAACGGTCAGACCGCACCCTTACCTGGCCCCTCCTGTCTACAGCAGGCTTCGCCCTGTTCCCCAACGCACACAACACCGACGCCCCTACCAGGACCCCTTCTCACCGGCTCCTCCCTTATCGCAAGGCTCCTCTCCGACCTCCCCATCCCCTCAAGACCCCGCCTCAATCAAGCAAAAACCCCGCCCCTCTGTCTTCACCCCCTCCACCCTGCCCCTCCTCCTGCCGGCCCCGCCCCTATCGCAAAGGTCCCCGCCCCTCCCGCCCTGGCTTACCAGCTTCTCTCCTTTACTGGCCGCTGGGTGGGCGCCGGGCAGATCGCCGCGGCTCGGGGAGGGCGCTGGCCAGGCTCCGGGAAGGCTCGGAAGGCGCAGACCAGCCGTGGCCGCTCAGGTAAAGCCCCCATCCGCCCGCGTGGCCTCCCACCCTCGGAGCTCCAGGGTCCCGGCCCTGCCTCCCTGCTTCCTGCCACCGCTCCCCGCCCAACCCTGCCGCACTCAAGGGGCTGCTTTTTCTCTCAGCGCCGGCGGGCGTGGAGCTGCTGTTTCAGGGTGCACGGCGAGCTCTACTGATGACCTCAATCTTTAAGGTGTCACAGGTAGCTGAGTGCTCGGGGACAGACTGGCACGCGCGGCCACTTGCCCCACCCGACCTGGCTTGCACGGATGGGAAGGGAAGCCCTCAGCCAGCACTGGCTCGGAGCTGGGGGAGGGGAGAGAGAGATGGATCCCTGGGCCTCCGCCCAGACTTGGGTCCCCAGCTATGGGTGGGTGACCAGAGGGCTAGGGCAGGGTGCTGTAACTACCTCACTGCGAGGGCCGGTCTCCAGCCAGCTGTCAGCTCTAGTTGTCTCCCGCAGCCGGGAGACGCTTCTCTGGGTGGCCTTAGTCTTCCAGAGAGTTACGAAGCAGGTATGTTTGATAGCCTGCAACGCTGCTTCAAACCTGGTGTGCCTTTGGCTCCGTTTTTCCCTGGTCCTGTCCTCCCAGATAGACCAAATGTGCAGTCTGGTCACCCATCCTCCTTTTCTCTTTTTCTTGCAGAACTGAGACCACCAGGTTCTTCTGCAGGTGAAGACAGAGTTTGTGTTGGATGAAGGCTTGCAACACGAGGAAAGAACACTCACCTGCAAATCCCAGTACAGAAGAGTTGCCTGGGTCCCGGGGAGGCGAGAGATGGGCCCTAGGGGCAGGCAGAGCCTGTCATCCCCGCTGGCCGCCTCTCAGGGGTCTTGCTTCTTCATCCTCTTCTGCTTACGATTAGGTGCCTCCTGCCCACAGGCCTGCCAGTGCCCTGACCATGCCGGGGCTGTGGCTGTCCATTGCAGCTCAAGAGGCCTGCAGGAGATCCCCAGGGACATCCCGGCCGACACGGTGCTTCTGAAGCTGGACGCCAACAGGATCTCCCGAATCCCCAATGGAGCCTTCCAGCACCTGCCCCAGCTGAGGGAGCTGGACCTGTCCCATAATGCCATTGAGGCCATCGGGCCTGCAGCCTTTTCAGGTCTGGCCGGGGCCCTGAGGCTTCTGGACTTATCCCACAACCGCATCCGAAGAATTCCAAAGGATGCGCTGGGCAAGCTGAGCGCCAAGATCCGCCTGTCCCACAATCCACTGCACTGTGAGTGTGCCCTGCAGGAGGCCCTGTGGGAGCTGAAGCTGGACCCTGACTCTGTGGATGAAATCGCTTGCCACACCTCGGCGCAGGAGCAGTTCGTGGGCAAGCCGCTGATCCAGGTCTTGGACTCGGGTGCCAGCTTCTGCAGTACCCACCGGAAGACCACCGACGTGGCCATGCTGGTCACCATGTTCGGCTGGTTCACCATGGTGATTGCCTACGTCGTCTACTATGTTCGCCACAACCAGGAGGATGCCAGGCGACACCTGGAGTACCTGAAGTCCCTGCCTAGTGCTCCGGCCTCCAAGGAGCCTCTCAGCCCTGTGCCCTAGCGTCTGCCTCTGGTGGGCCACTGAGCCTGGCTGCCCTGGCTTCTGCAGCAGGTGGAGGCGATGGTGCTCTTGTGCCCCCAGGAAGGTGCATGGCAGGTGCCTCTGCACAGCCCAGGAAGCACGTTCGTAGTTGGCATTTGGTCCCCGCAGCCACTGCCTACCCCAGTGGGGGGGTTGCCCATCTTGATGGGAAGGTAAACTGAGGTTTAGAGAAACGGAATACCTTGCCGGGGCTGGATTCAGCTGGCAATTAAACCCAGGCTGCTTGCGGTATAGTTCTGCCATTTCCGTGATCTGCCAACCTTCCCCACACGGTTGCTTTGGGAAGTGGATATATGTGCACGCAAGGACGGGGCCCTGGAGGATGGCTCCAGCAGCTTTGCCACCGGGGGATGGCCTTTTCTGTTGACCCTTGCCCTCCTGGCACATCTGAACACAGAGATGCTGCCCTTTCCCAAAGCAAAGCGCTGGCGATCTAGGCCTTTCTAGAGAGGTCAGTGCAAAGTACGGCCTGCACTGGCCCATGCTGACCTTTGCTCTGGGAGTGCTTGAGTTGCCCTTGTGCCAAACTTTCAGTCCACCGGAGAGAGAGAAAATGGGGAAACACACACACAAAAAAAGGTCCCTCTCAGGCTTACCGTGGCAATGCCAGACAACTGTGGCTCTCCCCTGCTTCTGCCCCTCCCATCTGTGCCTGGCCAGTGGAAGCCTGTCGGTCACAACGGCTCCTGTGCCTTGCTTTTCTACTGCCAATATCTGAAGCAGCCTTTTCAAAGGAGGGACTGGACTGGTGTTGAAGGTTTCCATGCCAATCAACAGGATGCTGCTTTTCTCTAGCAATGAGAACTTTCTCTTTTCACCTCGCTGAAATCCCAGAGTTTGTTGATCAATTTTCTTACCTATATGACTTCATGTTCAGGGGTAGACTTTATAGCCACCTACTTGACTAACTTCCAGTTTTATTATTTACTGTCCTTTTTGAATAAGTGTTTCTCTCCTAAGCTACATCCAGTATTTGGGAGAAGCAAATAAGGGTGGATTGTGGGGGATGCTGAGTGTCCTGTCTACATGCCTCTCCAAGCAGGAACTGACTATGGCTTCTGTTTCTGTTGGAAAGTCTCTTGTGATCTTCAGGGGCAAAGTGAGACTGTGTCAGGGGCCCGGCCTGGCCTGGTCTTAGAATCCCCACAGTGGCCTCAGGCCACATGACTGTCAGCTGCAGATGTACGTGAAAAAGAAAGACACTCATGAATTCTAGACCTTCCCCGCTGCTGAGTGGCCACACCTCCATGGTGGCCATGGGGCCAGCATGCCCCTCAGGTGTAATGTGATTGGAGTATCAATACGGAGCCTGGATGAGCTCAGACCCTGCTCTCTAGTCCCCACTGCACTGTGCCAAGCTTCACTGTCTGCAGGGCTGTAAGGGTCAGGCCCTGGCAGAGCTAGTAGCACCATCCCCATTCCCACAAGGGTTGGCACCTCGGGGAAGCCTCCCTAGGGACACCAGGCACAGCTGTGACTGCTGCCTGGCCCACGTGGCACAGACATGGTCAACACATGTCCAGTTAGGTGTTCAGAGGAGGCAGGTGCTGAGGGCAAGGTGGTCTGGACCTGGGCGGTTCTATGCCAAGGAGAAGAGGCTACAAGGCCAGAGATGAGGGCTTGGAGGTGCCATCCAAGCTGTGTGGTGCTGAAGTAGCTGTGTCTGCCCCGTGTTCAGGGACACCTCTAGCCCAGCACCTGCTCTGAGAGGTGCTAGTGGGGAGGGTATGGCTTGCATTCCTCTTATTGCGTGGTGCAGGGAGGATAGCTGCTTCCAGGCTTGGGGTACAGACTGGTAGCGGGGCCCCTGGAGCCCTTCCACTATCCTACGTAGTAAGGAGGCCCTGTGTGAGGAGTTTGTCACTATCCAGCACGCCTGCCCCAGTGACGTGACCAGGTCAGGAAAGAGCATGCATGGAGGCTGGGTGGTGAGGTCAGCGCCCCTGGGCTCTTCTTTCTCTCTTGTCCCAGAATCACCCCAGTGGGCACTTTAGACACACAGGGGTAGGGCTTCTTCCTAGGCCGCTCAACTCACTGCCAGGCTTGCTGCCCTTAGCTAGGGCTTGCCCCTACCTGATTGTGCATCTGTAGGGCTCCTTCACAGCCCCTGCTTGGGAAGAGGAGGCTGGGGAAGGTCTACTTGTGTGGACTCTGGAGAGAGCACGCCCCCTCCTCCTGTAAGGAGGACTCCAGAGACCTCAGCACTCTCCTGCTCATCCAAGCTTCCAGCCTTGCTGCTCTGGACTCTTATCTCTCTGCCAACCCATTCCCTGTCCTCTTTTCTTATGCCTTTCCCTTCCTTCCCATGACCAGCTCACAGACAGGATAAGTGTATGAGGCTGGAGTCCCTGACAGAGACTGGGTGTGTGTGTGTGTGTGTGTGTGTGTGTGTGTGTGTGTGTGTGTGTGTGCGCAGAACTGCCCTGAGATGATCTTCCTCCCTGGATCCCACTTGTTTCCACCAGCTTCACCGTCCCTCTCTCCTTCAATGAGATGTTTTCTCTCCCCAACCCTGCACAGACCCTCTAGATCTTGGAGACTCTGGGCCATACCCCACCCCCAACCCTAGAAGGCGGGCGGGACCTTGCCACACATAACAGAGGTGCCAAAATGTTCTCAGGCACAGTGGGTGGTTTGTGGCTCAGTGTCCTGCCCTGTCACCACCACACACCCGTCAGTATAAACCTATCATCCAGATCCCAGCCAACTGGCCCCATTGGGCCCTTTCCCTCCTACTAGTTACATGCGTTTGCTTACGACATGGTTCTAAACTGAGTTCCTTGGGTCTGGTCAGAGGTGGGGTGGTAAGTCATAGATTGAGAGGGAGTGCTCTGGGACCATGGCAGCTCTGAGCCACGCAGAAAGCTAGGATAGCTTCTGAGTTGCCTTCCCTGGAAGCTCAGGCCTGACCCCGATCCCGTCCCCTCTCAGCCTTTCTGTGAACCCCCAATAAAGATCTTTGTGTTGAAGGCTGCTGATGGGGATTCTGTCTTCTTCGATTCCAGCTGAAACCTGTCTCTCACATCCCTGTCAGTGTCCGAAGGTCCTCAGGGTTGAAAGGGCATCTCCAACTAGCCAGACAACTGATTGTTAGAGTTAGCTCATGATGGTCATTGCTAAGGTTTCAGGAATCCAGGAAGCCAGCTTTCACCATGGTGCCTTGAATCTGATCACATTGAGGTTCTACACCAGGGAAATTGGTCAACAACCCTACGTGTCAGAATCCCAGCACGTGGGAGGCAGAGGCAGGTGGATTCTGTGAGTTCAAAGCCAGCCTTATCTACAGAGCCAGTCCAGGACAGCCAAGTCTACACAGAGAAACCCTGTCTCGAAAAACTAAACTAAAAAAAAAAAAAAAAAGAATCCCATCATTTGGCCAGGGCCATCAGCACCTAAATAGCCACAGTGAAGGTGCCCCCACGAAGTGGCTCTCCACAGTCTTACAAGCAACACTGTCTGCTGCCATGTCGGAGACAAACTCTCCTTAATCTGGGGATCCCAGGTCCAGGCCTAGGCCGTGACTCGTGGGTTTCACCTTCTACTGATGCTGTTTCCTCCAGACAGCTTCCTACCCCTGCTCTGAAGTCAGAGGTGCCTACCTGCCTCACCAGCCTTCCCGCTGCTGTTCCCAGCTGCCCCGCCTGGAGACTCGTGTCCTGGAGCTGGCCTGGTACCCACCTACCAGGCTGGGTTATCCCTGATTACCTCCTATCCTGCCTTGCTCTCTAGATGCTGGGGTGGACGATGGATGAGACCTCCCTCCCTCTATAGTGTGTTTTCCCACTGTGGATCTCTTCCCATCCCCACCCTCAAGCCTCTGCTCTCCCACTTAATGTTGCTGAAAGACCCTAGAGGGTTCACATCGCCTGTCAGCCTGTCTCCCATTGCTGAAGACTGGCTTGGCCCTTCTAGGGAACCCTCAGTGTAGGCAGAGCAGTTTTCACAATCTGCACACACACACACACACACACACACACACACACACGAATACATGCACACACATTTTTATTGCATATAAGCCAGGCAGACACTGACAATGATGTCACATTCATGCTCATGCACACGGGCTCACATGTACACACTTGGGCACACGCACTGCTCACTGGTAGCACATTTCTGCACAGATGCATCTACCCTGGCCACCCCTTCTCACTCCCGGCACAGTGTGTCTGTGGTCCTTGGAGGGAGCGTTGCCGCCCCAGGCCTCTAGAGGGCGTTGCCTGCTCAGGGTCTTCTTTGTATCAGCATCCGTTTCCTGTTCTTTCCAGCGTCCAGAGGCAGCAGCTTTCCTGGGATTCTGAGGAATGTTACAGCTCTCTGAACCTACACTGGGCACCTCTGACTTGCACATCACCAGCTGAAGAAACACTGCCTCGGGTCCCCGAGTGCTAGCTTCACTTTGGAAAGGGCCTCTGGGTGGTGCCAAGGGCAAAGCCATGGGCACGGATAGGAGGAGGGTCTGAGTTGCATCTAGGGAGAAGCAAAATCCCATGACTCTGTCGGAGCCTGGCATTGGGATAGCAGCAGCTCTCAGGCCACTCTCTTTACTCAGGACACAGGCTACTGGGAGAGGACCACAGCCAGAGCCAGCCTGACTTCAGAGGCGTTTTAGTTGGTTCTCACAGTGATGACTGGCATGGTGGGTCCTGATCCACTTTAGAGGAGTTGCTGAGGTTCAGAGGAGCAACGTTTCTTGCTCAGTGGTGGCTGGCTCCTGGCAACCTGGGCTGGAATTTGCATCTCTGATGGCTGGCCTGGACACTGTCACTCGGGAACTGGGCCTTGGGGTGTTGTCAAAACAAAAGACCACAGCGCTAGCTAGGTTGGCTACAGATGGAAGAAAGGCCAGCGGCCAGTGTGTGAGACAAAACAGACCTGATCACTCAGCCCGTCTGCATGGGCCACCATAGCCAGGGGCAGGGCGTTTCAAGCTCAGAGCCGAGAACTGGCTCTGCGCTTATAACCATGGCAACAACACTGCCCAGAAAGGGAGTGGACACCCAGTGTCACTGGGTGACATTAGCCACCAGAAGTGGCCATTTGCTGCTGTCGTCGGGACCAGTGGAGGCCAGCCGTCTTGCCTCCTTCCTGAGGGCCCTGAAGTGACAGTGACAGCCAGCCCTGAGAGGGGGAGTTGCATGAGACTCTGCCACCATTCACTCCACTTGCCCCAACACACAGGAAGGTTTGACACATTGCCCCCGGGCCTCAAGAGGGCTCTAAAGTTCAGTCTGTGTGAGCAAACGATAGCTTGGCCTAGCCCTCATCACATCTCCTCCACGATGAACAAGGACAGGAGCCCTTGGTGTCTCCACTCAGGCTTGGCGATGTATGAGCTGGTAGGAAGCTGCCCAGAACACTCCCTCAGTGTCACATTCCAAGAAAGAGCAAGATGGGAGGCATGGGTTGAGGGGGGCTGGCCGGCTCCTTCTGTTGTCAGTGTCCAGTGCTACGGATGAGGACCTGGGGAGGAATACCTCTGTCCGCCTACTTGGTGGACACAGGGGTCACTTCCCAGGAGTTTGGTCTGTTCCAGCGGTTGGTGTCTGGCTCCACCTTCTTGGGAGAACGTCCCCATGTTAGTTCAGAGGAGCCGGTGGAGCAAGATGAGCCATCCCGGTGTCAACAGTTTGTGCTGGCGTTGCACAAGCTCCACCAACCCACAATTTAAAACATACCAAGTTACATCTTCAAGCAATGGCTTCACACACTGTGTCTGTCTTCCAAGGACACTGACTGGCACTGTTTACACCTTCAGAAAGTTACCACTTCCTGGGGTTGGGGGGCACTTCTAGAAACTCACATGAGACTTGAGCCAGCCTTCCTTCCTCTTTTTTTCCTTCCCTCCCTCTCTCCCTCTCAGCCTTCCTACTTCTCTTGGCACTGGGCATTAAGCCTAGGGCCTCACACATGCCTGGCGAGCGAGCACTGCACCACAGACACCTAGCTCCAGTGTCTGAAGTTTTCCAGATAATGATACCAGCCACAGTTGTGCGTCTGCCAAACGACTGGTTAAGAGCCGAGGCTACTCCCTCCTGTCCCTGGCCTTTTGTTCAGTTCTTTTTGAGATGCTTTTGGGCCCTCTTAGGAAGAGTGCCTCTGGGGGTTTGGATGAGAACTGCCTAAAAAGTGATGTGTGTACTAGGCCATGTTGGCTGGGTTAGGGCTAGGATGGGAAGGTTTCTCTGTGTGTTTTGTGTCCTGAAGTCTGATTTTTGTGGGGTCCTTAATTTACATCTGGGGAATGTAGGTAGCTTTAACTAGGTACTTCTGGGGCCCTGCGGGGGGGGCATGTAAGCTTTGCACATAGCCTCATGTAGCAGGAGACTAGCGGGGAAGATAAAGACATGGCCCATCGTGTCCTTCCGTCCCCTGTTACGCTCCTGGAGGTGATAAATCTGAGGATGAGTACCAAGTTGTGGGGTAAGGGCCTTCTCAGACCTCTTTCCATGGCTGCCTTCTCACTGTGGTCCCTCTGAGGTGGGGGTGGGGGAGAAAAAAGGGGTGGAAAAGAGCAGAGGAGAGGAGAGGGAAGATGAAAGGGGGACAGAGAAGAAGGGAAGAAGAGAAACTGTAGTGAGGATTTTGGTTTCTTAAAACACCAGTTATGTTATGTAACTATGTTTTTGTTTTTACCCCAGGTGTGGGCTATGGGGCTGCTTCAGTTTGTCCACAGCCATTAGCTATGATTGTCTCATGCACTAGCAGGGGCGTGATCTTTGCCAGCTGCGGGTGGTTTAATGCCGGGAACTCTTAAGAGGGAATAAATGCCAGAGGCCAGAGAGGGACGTCAGAAGCATCTAGAGGGTGCTCGGGAGAATGTGGCTGCTGCTCTCCATCCCCCACACCCCACCTGCTGGTTTGTCATGCTGTATTTACTGCTGTGTGTGCTATCGCTGGCTTGCTGCTTTGCTGGACTGCTGGATATCCTGATGACAGAAGATTGGGCTTGCCCTAAGAACGTATATCCTTAATCGGTAGGAAATAACCTTTAGAGGTCTACACCCCTTTCCCTCTAACTTTCTTTCTCTTCCAGACCTGGTAACTAAGAGTAGGAGGTTCCCAAAATTGCCTCTCGTCCTGCACACTTTTCAGTGTCAAGTCTCATATCCCTTGGCCGGGGCAGGGAGCTGGGAGGAGCAAGGCAAAAGGGTTAAAGAGAAACAGCCCATTTTGAGACAAAGGGTTAATCCTGAGCTAAGTGCAGTGCCAGAGGAGTGGTCTGGGATCATGAAGTCACCATCGTTTTCCTCAGTAATTGTGCAGCAACTGCCTGGGATTATGAAGTTACCATGAAAATGATGAGATAACATGGCGTCCAAAAGAAATGATAGAACTGAGGTGTTTTAAAGGGGCTGTTTTTCCTACGGAATACTTTTCCCCTTTCGTTAAACAAATATTAAGCAATTGGGCTACCCAGAATAGAATTATTTCCCAAGACTGGAAAGGTTTAGTAACAGCTGTGCTTAGAAGCCTGTCAGCAGTTACAGTGGTTAATGTGGAGGGAAGAAGCTGCGAATATAGAGCAATGAAATAGAGCAAGGGGAATGAATTGCTTGGTGAAGGGTGGCATTCTGACCTACAAGAGCAAATTCGATCTGATGATGTCGTTATAGAACAATGTCATTTTGCAGCTTTAAGACCTTGGGATAAGGTGGAGGAGCCCAGAGAATGATCCACCTCATTTACAAGGCTGTGAAGAAGCCTTCACAGACTTCTTGCAAAGATTGGTTTCAGCTGTAAACAAAGCCATGTCAGACCCTGATGCCAGACAGGTGTTACAGAGACCTTGGCATTTGAGAGTGTGAATACTGAACGTAAGTGAATAATTAGACCTTTAAAGGCATGAGCAGAACCAATGGGTGAATGGATAAGAGATGCAACTGATATTGAGTCTCATGAGCGTCATGCCAATATCATAGGACAAGCTATAGCTAGAGGTCTGTTATCAAAATACCTGGTGCTTTAC